TTATTCCACATTATCCTTACCTTACCGATGTTATCGACCGTTCGCATAATCATACGGATATCGCTGTTTCTCGGCAGATGATGAAATGATTCGGTTACTTAATCGTTAAAAATTCGTAAAAACGTTAAAGCAGATAAGTCAGCTTTGTTTTTTGTGATGACATATTGAGTCATGTTCAGCCCAAGGCGTAACAAATAGAGTATTAGTCAATAGTCAAAATTTTTCTCGCTAGTATTCTTCGCATGAACTGTCCCAAACGTATTAAAAACATAATAATAATCACTTTGTTATTTACATTTCAGCATTTAAGATTAATTAAACCTCCACTATCGCAAAATTTTAAATTAAATGTTTCAGTACGTAGTTCTATGTAAGGTAAGGAATTTACATGCTAGAAGCTATATCTCCTGTATCTCTTTTGTTTTTTTTTTCAAACACATCCAACCAAAGCCTGGAGTTCATGAATACAGTGACAGGAATATCTTAAGATATTTGTTATTATTAACAACATCAATAAAATTAAACCCAAGAATACCAGTGCAAGACAAAGATTATACCCTTGGACCTAGAAAGCTGAAATTTTGCACAAAGGTCCCTTTTGTAATTTAGAGAAGCATTTTGCGAAATATACACAGAATCTATACAAATAAATAAAATTGAAGTGTCTGTTTGTAATGTCAAAATTACAGTTTTTTACTAAATGCATATGGAAGTAAATACGATACCTATAACTAAAATACAATTTTTAAAATTTTTGTCTGTCTGTCTGTTTGTTCCGGGTAATCTCCGAAACGGCTGGACTGATTTTGACGGGACTTCACTGGCAGATAGCCGATTTCATAAGGAGTAACTTAGGCTACTTTTATTTTAGAAAAAGAATCAGGGTTCCGCGCAGAAACATAAAAACCCTAACACGCGAACGAAGTCGCGGGGAACAGCTAGTCGGGAATAAAAAGGATTTATCTTTTTGCTTTAAAGTGCCACATTTCCGTAACTATAATTATTAGAGACTTCAAGTTAGGAATTTAAGTAGGCGCAGTACTATAATAAGTGTATGGGTACATGGGCAGACTGTATTCAGTAACAGCACTCAGATTACGATACAACTAGCCTAAAAAGTTAAAGTTGATTCCTTTAAAAGCTTTAAACAAAATTGGGGCAATTTCCAATTCCACTCGAGGGAAGCCATGGACGGTCGCTTGTAACTCCATATCGTTATTAAGTTCAAACTCTACTTTTAAAAAATACCAGCAGCTATGATAGAATATGACTCAAATTGTTATATATTCATTTTAAAATCATTTTCTTCGGGTTACAAATTATCTGTTGTCTGTGGGGCGATGTTAATGTCCGCTATCCACTTTGTCTGCGAATCAAGCGCGATGTCGCGGCAGCGCGAAAACAACGCGAATAATTTTAAGTGATTTCAAATGTTTTTTTTTAATAGTGTGTGGAGTGTATGATAAGCCAAAAAAATGTTTATTTCATATTTTGTATAGATATCTGTGTTTTACATTATATTAATATGCAGTTGAAAGTGAAATAAAGCTTTCTTAATATACAAACCTTAATATACCACTAGTTAATATCATTGTGTTTGCTACCATGACAAAATTGAAGCTTCGCTATGTGGATGCTACTCCAAAAAGGAGGAAGTTCTCAATTCGTCTGTATATATATATATTTTTTTAGTATTTTTTGGTCATAACTTCTTTGTTTAAACTATAATGTATTTTCATACGTTCGTTACGTAGTACATATTACTTTAATTGTTTATAAACCTATTTTAATGATTTTTATTGTATAAAATAGGTTATACACCAGAGGTGGTCATAAATAAATTTTAAAAGAAATAAATAAACTTAAAAGAACAAATTACTTTGCACATAAAAGCTTTTGAAGCCGCTGCAAATAAGACAGTGTATCGAGGAATTAAAGTCCTGCCGACCTCAGAAGCTTATTTTATTTTATTTATTTATTTCGACCAACAAGGATCATAGGGTAATATTACATTCATTCAAATATGTGTGTGTGTTTATGATATATATATATATATATATATATATATATATATATATATATATATATATATATATATATATATTAATGATACTAGCTGTGCCCCGCGGTTTCACCCGCGTCATCACGTGTCGGAGGTGCGCGACATGACCTAGTTCAAGCATTTTATAATTGCAATTAAATATTTTATTTCATAGCAATAGATGGAAAAATTGGCATAATTAATGGAGTACTTTTATCTGTCGGCATATTATGTAGGATGTAGAGTGAAGTTAAGTTTTATCCACTTTCCCTCCCCCTCCCGGTTGAGCAGTTCTCGCAGTTCTCACCGGGCGGCTAGGTTTTATGTGTCGTTCGCGCGCCCAGCCTAGTATTGAATTATTTTAATTTTACATTATCGCTTAAACTATGCGTCCAAATAACATGGTATAAAGAACAAAGTTTATCGTCATAAAATTGTCTTGATGATGAAGTAACTTTCGTTCGTAAGGATAAATAGGCCATGCCTAATAATAACGCTCATAAATCAAATTTAAAATAAAAGATGTATAAGAAGTATAAGAAATAAACATATGGTATCGCGGATTTTTTTTTAGACGGAGTAAAGATCTATATTTTTCTAGAACATTGTATTTACGTATCCCTAACCATAACACCAGCGTACGCGGATAAATCGTCTCGGGAGCGCTTTTTCTACTGACTTGCTTAACAAATATCTATATTTAAGGCTAGCTGAGTGATATAGCTTAATTCTAGATAGCCTATACTATTCCACATGAATCAGGCTATAATATACAAAAAGAATTTTTCAAATCGGACTGGTAGTTCCAGAGATTAGCGCGTTTAAACAAACAAAAAAACTTTTCCGCTTTATTATATTAGTATAAATAAGTATAGGTAATAATAATAATTAATCATTTATTGCAGACCACAATTCGTTAAAAATACACAGAAAATGTCATAAAATTTATGTTAGTAAAATTAGATAGTAAATTAAATAAACATTAGTTCATATATATGGGTTGCCTGTCCGAGGCAATGGATAAATGGACATGAACATGCACCCAGTGCCTCAAAAAAAGTACAATCAGGTTTCTCGCTAATTACTTTAAGAATGCTGTTGGCGCTCCCACGAACCCTGTGCCTCAGTGACGCAGTCTTTTTGCGAATAAGTGTAGAAAAATTGTCTATGTGAGCGTCAACAAACATGTCTGTTGCACTACAGTAACGTGGGAGCCCCAGTAACAATCTAAAAGCGTTATTATATTGTATACGTAGGGTGTTGTATGCCCGCTGCGTATATCTAACCCATAAGGAGCACGTATAGAGGGATTGGCAATAGGCCTTAAATAAAATCAGTTTTACATCGGCTGTACAACGTGAGAACCGGCGGGCCAGCATATTGCAGCGGACAGCCAGCGCCCTCCTTTCTCTTTCAATATCTTTATCATCTTTTAAATATTCGGTAACCACATGGCCGAGGTACTTAAATTCGGTTACAGTTACAGGTGGTACGAAATTAGGTTTCTTCGTGGCCCACCTTAAACAACATGAGCTCACTCTTTGCAACATTATATTTTAGACCGTGGGCTTCTGCATAAACCTCACATATGATCAAAAGCCGTCTGAGTGGACTGACTGACAGGCTCCGAAGCACCATGTTAACTGCGTAACTGATGTTGTTCATGCAGTCCATCAATAGAGCAGCCGACATGTGCACTCCCGAGTCCATGAATCATTTCATTTATATATAGATTAAAAAGCGTAGGTGAGGTTAACCCCCTTGCTTCACACCGCATTCTAAATTATACTCGTCCGACAGTGCATTAGACCACCTGACCTGATTAATTTGATGACCGTACCAATAGCTAAAAATGCTAATGTACGAGACGGGTAGACCAGCCTTTCGCAATTTATCCCACAGAATGTCATACCTGACAAGATCGAAAGCTTTTGAAAGATCCAGGAAGGCCGCGTACACTGGCGTATTCCTTACAGTGTAATACCCCACAATGTACTTCAGCGACAGTATTGCACACTCGGTGGATAGATTTGGTCTAAAATGAAATTGTGCATCGTTTAACGTAATATGTACTTTTAACTGTCTCTCAATCACCCTGTTAAGTATCTACTCTTAGCCGCAGTTGTCGCTAATGAAATGGGCCGATAGTTACACATATCCGAAATATCGCCGGTTTTCTTTTTCAAAATCGGTACCATGACCGTTCTCATTAGCTCTTCCGGCAAATAAGAGTGCGTGGAAATTATTTTATTCTTTTTATTTTTTGAAGTCTGTTTTTATTTAATTAAAGTTTAAAACGGATAGAAAAGACAAAATTTAGATCAATGCAAAAATTTATTACACAAGAAAATGATCAAAAGTCCTCGAAATATATTACTTCTGAGATCTGAGATCATGCAGGTTATCAATTTCATTGGCGATGATGGGTATCGAACCCAGGTTGTTCTTGTACTGTGAAATTAACAGTGAGCGCCTAGACCCTGAGCTACAATAGCTCACTGCATCCGTATTCGGTGTTAAATGAACATATTATTACTCTTATTAATATTTGGCGACAGAGTACGTAGTTATGCATTCCGGCATTCCCGGTATTGCAACGGAGACCATCACAGTTTAAGCGTAAGCGTAGGCGTATGTTTGCTGAATTGCGTCTGGTTGAGTGGTCCTTCGTATGCATATTGTTAACGGTTCTTTAACTTTAATGTTCTAGAGTAAAAATTAGGATAGTCTTAGTTAGGCTCTCACATGTATTGGACATGTAGTTTTAAGTTTTTTTTTATAGAATAAGGGTGACAAACGAGCACACAGTCCACCTGATGGTAAGTGGATGCTGTGGTGTATTTTATATGGAAAAACATTATTTGTAAATTATTAAAAAAATCTCATATTAAGTATAAGGTACCTACTTAGTTTTGATTTAAAGTACTACTTATGTAATTTTAGTGTCGTTTATTTTTAGGGGGGAGGAAAGCGCGGGCAATGCTTGTGCGATGGCTGCGTCGGCGGCGGCGCCGGCGACGTGGCGCGGCACCAACGACAGCGCCTCCGAGTACTGTCGCCGCGGCAACACGCCCGCTACCTACGGACGGTACCAACGCAACAACTCCACGGCGGCACCCTACGCCACACCGCCATCCAATGTTGACAGGTATGTTTCGCGCACATTACTGATTGACTACAGATATACCCGATGGTAATCTGTTAGTAAAAACATGGTCCTTTATACATATATGTAAATGCTGACTAATAATAAAAAAAAAATATTACTTTTAGTATTAAACACTGTTGTGGTGGTATATAAAGAGATTAGTTACCTATTCACTTACTTTTGTTTCTTTGTAATGTAGATTCCATCTTAATTCCTTGTGTCAATTATATTTAGAATATAAAATAAACTACTGTGTAATGCTTGTGATTAAATGTGATCGATTAATTATCTCTCATTCATAATTGAATTTATAATAGTCCGTTATAAATCCAGCAAAACCTTTTAGCTTTGCCTAGCGTAAAGAATTTGTCGTAAATAGTAGCTGGTTGCTACGCCTTGTAGAACGATTGACATTCGCGATACTTGTTTCCAGATTTAAAGCAATATTTACATATTTATACATTATTATGGATATTTATATATTTATTTAACATTCAGGAGCTCATATTATAATAGTTATAAATAAAATACAATTAATAGCTTCTTGTTATACTTAAGAGACACATTGTAGCTCAATAGCTTTCACCGTACACAAAAATAGCCGGTGTTCTATTCACCGCACCTTCCACCACTAAAACTGACGTGGTACGTGGTAGAGACATGTTGCAGCTACATTATGGTTGCACGAAGTAAGGTCAAAAAATTCGCGGAATGAAAGGGAGAAGCAATGAAATTAAAGATGAAATTATTTTTTATAGACCATTCAAATAACTTATTTAGACCTTTAAAAAAATGTTTTGTCAAGGGCTTCAAATTAGGCAGAAATTGCCGACTTCACGTTTTCGTCATCTGTACTCTAAATTTCTTCCCCTGAAGCTCTTTTTTCATACTTGGGAACAAATAATAATCCGAAGAGGCAAAATCTGGTAGTACAATTGACTGAAATATAGTACGATACTATATTATATTATAGTACGGGTGGCAACTCTACTGCCACTGCATGGACTCCTGCTTTGACTTAAGTTCATAGTTATGAACCCAAGTTTTATCCCCAGTGACAATTCGGTTCATAATTTCGTCCATGTCCTCACTACAACAGTTCCATTTACATTTGATTTATGAACGTGTTTCCGTTTTCCCTCCGCTCCCTCGAGATATTGTCCATCATTAATTAAATAATTACAGCCTATCAAAAGACCATTATTAGCTAATAGCCATTATTAGCTAATAACATAGCTCCTCCATAAATTGTCCCATAGGGAGAAAATTGCCATAGTTGCCACTCTTGGGTTGGCAATTACACTGCATTAGATAGATACTATATTTTACAATCTAGAAATTACAATAATGATTTCTAATATTTATTTACGCGAAAACTACACATTTACTAAACATTTAAATAAAATGAAAAAAATTTAAATAAAAATTCTCAACAGTGGTAGAGCCACGCGGCAGCTTTTGCTGTCGTACGGATGGGCCGGCTCGAACCGGGGTGGTACCACGACCTCACAGAAAACCAGCGTGAAGTAGAGGTTTACCTCTGCGTTTCGCTTGGTGAGTGCAGGTGGCCGGAGGCCCTTTTTACTGGAAATGAGGCATTCCATCTTAGTCCTCACGGGTTTTTTTTTTTATAGGAGAGGGGGCAAACGAGCATGCGGCTCACCTGATGGTAAGTGACTACCGCCGCCCATGAACAACCGCAACACCAGGGGAATTGCAGATGCGTTGCCGGCCTTTTAAAAAGGAGTAGGCTCTTTTCTTGAAGGTCCCTAAGTCGTATCGGTCCGGAAAAATCGCTGGTGGTAAACTATTCCACAAGGAAGTTGTGCGAGGAAGAAAACATCTTCTAAATCGCACAGTGGTGGACCGCCAATCATCCAGATGGTGTGGATGGTATCGGGAGTTCTGCCGCGATGTGCGTTCGTGAAATTTGGCGGCTGGGATTAATCCGAACAATTCCTCAGAGCACTCCCCATGGTAAATGCGAAAGAAAATGCTAAGAGATGCAACATCTCTTCGCAGTGCCAATGAGTCGAGCCGATCGGAAAGGACTCGGTCGTCGACGATTCGAGCCGCTCTGCGCTGGATGCGGTCAAGTGGAAGAAGCTGGCACTGGGGAGCCCCAGCCCAGAGATGGGAACAGTATTCCATGTGAGGCCGAACCTGCGCCTTGTAAAGTTGCAGGCGTTGAGCCGGCATGAAATACTGTCCCGCTCTGCTGAGCACGCCAAGCTTTTTAGAGGCCAATTTGGCCTTCTCTTCCAAGTGACCACGAAACTGCACGCTACTCGATATGTCGACGCCGAGGATTCCGATACTGGCTTAGGCAACAAGGGGAGTACCTTGAAACTGAGGAGATACGACAAAGGGGTTCTTTTTAGCGGTAAACGCGCAAACTTGTGTCTTCTGAGGATTAAACTGGACTAGATTTAGTCGCCCCCAATCCGAGACTTTGTCCAGCAAAGACTCGACTTCAGACACAAGTTTGTTCCGGTACTCGGTGACGTTTTCCCGAGAAATATTGGCACGGCCGGTGTATAGAGCATCACCAGTGCTGTCATCTGCATAGCAATGAATGCTACCAGCTTGCAACATATCATTGATATGCAGAAGAAACAGCGTTGGTGATAGCACGCAGCCTTGTGGAACACCAGCGTTAATAGGCTTGTAGTCGGAGCATGCACCGTCGACAACGACCTTGATGCTCCGATCTGCAAGAAAGCTGGTGATCCAATTGCATAATTTCTCGGGAAGCCCATAGGAAGGGAGCTTCGAAATAAGCGCTTTGTGCCAAACCCGATCGAAGGCCTTCGCAATGTCCAAACTAACGGCCAATGCCTCCCCCTTGGACTCTACTGCCAACGCCCATCTATGAGTTAAGTAGACCAGAAGATCACCAGCTGATCGACCCCGACGAAAACCGTACTGGCGGTCACTAATCAGCTGGTGATCCTCAAGGTACCGCATGAGGTGGCAGTTTACAACGGATTCCATTATTTTGGAGAACAAGGGGGTGATGGCGATAGGCCTGTAGTTGGACGGATCTGAGCGGTCGCCTTTTTTAGGGATCGGGTGGACAAAAGCTGTCTTCCATGATTTCGGGACTACGCCTAGGGAGTAGGAGTACCGGAAAAGACGCGTTAGAACCGGTGCCAACTCCGGAGCACACGTCCTCAGCACAATTGGGGGGATTCCGTCAGGCCCACTCGACTTGTGGATGTCAAGGAAGAGGAGTGCTCTGCGAACCGAGCGCTGTGAGAATCGCACATCCGGCATGGAGCACTCACACCGCGGGATGGTCGGCGGTGTGTTCCCCCCGTCATCAACAGTCGAGTTGGACGCAAAAAGGGAGCCTAAAAGGTCGGCCTTCTCTTTTGCGTCGTGGGCCAGTGAGTCGTCCTCCCTGTGCAGAGATGGTAGTGATGGCTTACAGAAATTCCCTTGGACAGCCTTGGCGAGAGACCAGAATGCACGGGTTCCCGAAGGAAGGCGAACTAGTTTCTCGCCAATTCTGCCTATGTGCTCTGACTTTGCCTTGGCAATAACTCTTTTGAAGGACCTGGAGGCGAAGTTATACTTCTTTTTAAGTGTGCTGGTATTTACATCCCGAATCGCCGAAGCCGCAGCTCAGGCTTGATAACACTCCTGCTTACTGCGTAATGCAGTCTTACAGGAGCGACCAAACCGAGGCTGAGATCTGCCTCCGATGGGTACCACAGATGATGGAATAAATAGTTCCATTCCCTGTAGCACCACATCAGTGACAGGGTCAGCAACAGCGCTGGGATCATCCGGCGAGAAGCAAACCCGCCCCCATGGGTAGGAAGAAAAGAAAGACCGCATTCCGTCCCAATCCGCCGAACTGTAATGCCAAACACGGCGGCAACCTGCAGAACGCAACCGCGAGGGGAGCGTGAGTGGCACCACACTCCGGATCAGACAATGGTCCGAAGAGCCAAGAGGGGCATCGACGGAAACCTGATATCCGTCCGGATGAGAGGTCAGCAGAAGGTCCAACAGGGAAGGTGTATGATCCTCAACATCTGGAATCCGCGTAGGCGATGTAACCAGTTGTGTCAGACCATATGCCAAGGCAAAGTCATAAACAGATTTCCCCGCATGATCGGTTAAACGTGAACCGAGCCATTCGGCGTGGTTGGCGTTAAAATCGCCAAGGATCACGATCTCTGCGGATGGGACCTGTTGTAGCAAGGAATCTGTAGCCATTTGGACGTGGTCGATGAGTCGGTCTGTTTCGGCATTACCGCTATGGGACCTATAGAGGCACACGTAGACGCGCGGATGGTCGTCGCTGTCTACGCGTAGCCAAAGGATGGACAGGTCCGAACCTTCAAGACTGCCGAGGCGTCGAGAACAGATGTCCTCTCTGACATACACGCAAACTCCAGCCCGAGGCACAAAGGAATGCTCCAATTTGTACCCCGGGTAGAAGAGATACGAAATATCAGCCGGAGAGGAAACCTGCGTCTCGGTCAGAAAGAGCAAGGCCGGCTTCGCCGTCTCGAGATGATAGTGGACGGCGTTTAGGTTAGAGTAAAGTCCCCTAATGTTGCAGAAATTCACGGATAGCGTGGCAGGGGTCGCCTTGGTGTTCTTGCTCAGTTTGCCCTTAGCAGTAATGCTTTTGAGCGGAATTTTGCGTTTTTACGTGCAACAGCAAAAGCTGCTTCAAGGCTCTACCACCGTCGGGTGACAACACATCTACATTTTGATTTGTAATAGAGGATAGATGTAGATGTCTATGGGCCGCAGCAACCACTTACCATCAGGTGGACTGTGTGCTCGTTTGTCACCCTTATCCTATAAAAAAAAAACTAGTTTTACGGATTTTATCGCGTATATTAACTTATATTATATTCCCGACGTTTTGAGTACTTTACAGCACTCATGGTCACGGGGGGTCTGAGGTGTATGACGTCCCAATGTCATAGCTAACCACGGCTACGTCCAGATTAAAAATTATAAATTTTTGTTCCGAACTGCGTACAGTATGAACTTACAGAATTTTGAAGTCTTGCAGTTGTATGCTTGGGTTGGGATTTAATTTTATTAATTATACGATCCCAAGCAGATGGTAGCACCCAGCCATCTTCTCTATTGAAATTAGGATGTTTTTTGATTTCAACAGCCTCGGGAATCATCCTTGGAAGGAATCGGTGTTCTTTAGCGAGGATTTGTGGTCTATTAAATCTAATGTAGTGACGGGGGCGATCCTGTACGTATTCATAGACTGCAGACTTCCCGGAGCGTCAATTCTTCCACATCAGCTATGTGTTCTTTAACGCGGGTTTTTATTGATCTTTTAGTTTGTCCTATATAAGAGAGACCACATTCACAATCAAGATTGTACACTCCTGCATCTTGCAGAGGGACATTACACTTGACTGATGGTAAAAACTGACTAATCTTCTTCGGAGGCTTGAATTATGTTTTAATGGAAGCACACTTCAAGATGTAGCCAATCTTGTCAGTGACAACTCTGACATATAGCAATACAATAGGCAGTTCGACTATGGCCGGCTTCACTCGTTTACTGTGTCGTAGGCGCGGGACCCGAAGCTTATTGTCGTGCAAAACTTGCTAGACGTGTTGGAGCTCGGCGGCCAGGTGTTTACTGTCACAGATCCTCGTGCTCTCTGAAACAAAGATTTAACCACGGTAGCTAACTGTGAACGATGGTGATGAGACTCACCGTTTAAATATTTATCTGTATGGGTATTTTTTCTATACACAGAGTGGCTCAAGGTTTTGTCAGGATTCCGAATTACTAACATAACCTTCATACACTCATGTCTTCATTTTGGCAAAATTGATGGATTTAATCAAAGTGATTCGTTATAAAATAAATTACGCGTATTCTGATTACAAAATAACTTACCTGTGAAAGGAAACGTCTCCGTTTACTCGACTACCAGCTGTGGTGCTATTTTTAGTTTTGCGGTTTCTAAATCGCAATTCATTTTTCGCCTTTTTGATTGACGTCTAGCTATGATAATGTTCGAGTGCGGGTTAAAACGTAGGAGTGTTGATAAAATATTGAGAAATTCGGTTAAAATTATAAATGAAATTCCGTATAAAAATCAAACAGAAATATTTCTTTAATTGTGTTAATAATTAACTTACATAAATATTTCTTTATAATTTATAACATGCTTACTAAATGCAAAATAATTCCTCTTTTTGCTGCATTATGTACCTAGGTCTTGTCTTGAAAACAGTCTTGTTCATTTCAAGGCTCAAATTTCGTTATGGCCCTGCATTATGCATGAAATATTTGCATCTCGATTCTCGAGCCATTGTTTTCAATCCTACACGTTATTTTTGTTACATATAAGCAAAGAAAAGGTCGTGAAAACAAGTGTTCAGACTGACCTAATTAAAATAACCTGTAACCTAACACTTAAAACCTTCTCTTACATTTGATGTAGAAAAGAACAGGACAAATTCTTTTCTATATAAAATGAAAAGGATTTTTTACGATTTCAAATGTCGCCTAAAACCCACTGGAATAATTTGACAGACTTTAAATGACATTTATAAATAAAGACCATAACGACGACCAGACGAAGGCTTTTGCACGATCAGAGAGCACAGAGATGAAGAAAGGAGTGGCCGCCCTTTCTCTTCTAATACTGAAGGAAACGTGCTAGCAGTGAAAATATTAATTAAAAAGAATAGGTGAATTACGTATGAAGAGATGTTGGCCAACGTGAAGAGTCGCCTTTTTAAGACTTTAAGGTTGTGGCAGAGTATTGGCCGCCGCGTCCACATGTTGAGCGCACGTTTACTTTGCTACGAGCTCCCGGAGTGATCGCACGCACAAAGTGACAGTAACAATGACCAATGAAAAAACTTTTCGCTTTATAGAGCTCTACCAAGCCGAAAATTATTTGTGGAACACAAGAAATAAAATTTCTTTTTTTGCATTTCTTATTAATCACCCTTTTCTTATACACATTCACGTAATAACGGTATGCTGTGGATAAATAAACCGCAGCAGCCGTTAACGCCTCAATATCCTTTTTAATAAATTCATCCGAATATTGGCCTGAACCGAAGCAAACTGAACCTTCCAACGTGTGGACGCCACCACAAACTCTTGTCTAGTATCATTGCCAACACATTCGCTCCTATGTTGGCCACCGTGAAGAGTCGTCTTTACACAAACAACTTTCGCGTGGGGAGGATAGTTTCGCGTGATAACCAACGCACAATATCAACGGCGTGGCGGTACTCAGAAGCAGTCCAGCATGAAAAAGTGCCGTGATATGATCACTAAATTTGAAGCAGGCTCGTGTTGGGGCGCCTACGATATTAGGTACAGATTATTAATTTTGGATTAATAGAGGACGAATAACGAAGCGCCAAAATGCACCAACCCTTACCAAAGATAAACAATCACAAAGGGCAGGGAAGAATTTTGATGACTAGTTCTTTGACTGGGTATCTGGTGTCAATTCTCTTACGAAATCAAAGTAGCATCGATGCCCAATACAAACTACCTAATGCTTACCAGAAGTGTTCACTGTTGTGAGCGACAAACGGCTGAACATGGTGCTGAACAGAGTTTTCTGAGTAAAACTGGAAAGTGGTTTTGAAAATTGGTTCATACGCATTAAACACGTTCCATTGAGGTGACAAACGAGCTGACAGTCCACCTGATAGTAAATAGTATATACTAGTACTGTAACCCATGAACACCTTCAACCACCTTCAAACAAAGAAAGTCACAATTTCATTGTTACTTTGAATAATATTAAGATGAAACACCTCGTAGCCTGTAATTCGGGAAATTTGATTGTGTAAAATAATTGTTACGAGCAGAACGACGCCTCATCAGCGGTGGTTCGCGAGCGGGGAGCGGGCAGCGGGGGGCGCGGGCGGGGAGAGCACGCCGAGCACGCCCGGCGGCGGCACGGAGGGCGGGCGGCGGCGGCGGCGCTCCGGCTCGGGCTCGTCGCGCTCCGACACCAGCTCGCCGGAGCCCAGCGACACGTCGCGAGCCTCCACGCCGGCCGCGCCGCCGCCCGACCGCCACGCCGCGCGCCGTACGCCGCCCGCGCACCTCCACCAGGTACGCCTACACCATACACGTGAAAACATATCTGTGTCGATACATAGTCTGCATTAAATATTGAGCTTGCTACGTGCTGATTAATGTGAACGGACTACGAGTATGATTACACACTGAGATCACACGCAATTAAATAATATTCTTAATAGAACTCTTAAACGGGCTATAAAAATTACATCTTGCTGAGAACTATTACTCAGCAATATCTCTACCAGTGCCTACACCTACACTTTGCAGAGTATATTCCGGTAATGTTGTATCGCCGAGCATTTGAGTTTGTACGTGTGAGCAACATTGAGTTAAATCACTTGTAATCTAGCCGACTAAACATGGAACGCGGGGTGGCTACATGAAACTACAACTGCAATATTGCCTGGCTATACTGAGATATTGCGCAAAGTGTTGCAATGAGAATATATAGATGGAAACGCGACGGCTGCCTCAAAACTAGCCCGTTTATGAGCGCTCTTATACTCATAAAGTATTTAATTATTATATATTACATACATTATTATACATACAGTTATTTTTAGCTTAAGGTTCTATTTAATTCCTAGACGTACTGATTATAAAGTTGAGTCACGCTTTATACTATTTTAATAAAGCTATTTACATTACGTAGCTTGCGGCTTCATTGAACAGTATCAAGCAAACGGTCATTCCTAAAATATACGTTAGGTACTGCTTACGTTCGAAACAACTTCTGCAGAAAGCATGGTACATTTCAAGCAGTTGCTGATGTATAAAAAGAGCAACGTATTTAGGACAATATCGAAAGTAACGTACAATTTAATTAATTTGTCCTGCAAAATCTTTGTCTATATTACCATATACTTTTTGATCATATTTTAGCAAGTGTCAAATGCACCTCGATTCTGCTGTATATAGCCGCCTTGTTACTTCTTGATCATGCCTACTGTAAATGCTTAGTCTGTAGACCCATTTCTAAATAAAGACTTCGAATGTTAGCTTCCTAAAAAATAATTATAACGGAATCCATAAGGCCTCTTATCAAGGCGTTGAAATTTTCATTTTAGGTCTTAAAATTTTTAAATCTTCGACTCAAAGGCTCAGCTTAAGAATGTTACTAATGAAATATAAAAATATATTGTGACATAATCAATAATAACTTCTTGCCCCTTAAAATTCCTATTTTAAGACGAAATTACTCAGTAATGTTCTACTGCTGAGATTTTCTTTCCTTTCTTTGACTTGGTTTCGGTCATGTTTAGTAAAATCCATAGACTTAGAATATACTGGCGTATAGGCGACCTGACAGCCCGAAAATGTGTAACCAATTTTGATTTGTCATTTCGTGCGTTAGGTAGTGATGTACATTTTACTTACTGGAAAAAAGGACTATCGAAAAATTATTGTTCAGGAAGCGGTAAAAAGATTAAAAAATATGATTTAAGGCACGAAACTGAAAGAATTCAAAAATTTACTGAATAGTGAACAACAAACCTTGATAATTATAAAATAATATAAAAATTTTCAAATAACATGTTCCCGGGAATGAGCTACACCTACTTGCCTTTTGTTGGATTTTAATTCAAAATGTACAAAGTCCCAATAATGTCTAAAAAGGTGAGTTTACCGATAAACTCAAACAATTTCATCCAATAATCAGATGGGAAAGTTGTATTTACGAGCTATGGCCTTTGGAGAAAACTTTACTGCCGTGGACAGTTTCCCCGGAATTTCTTTTTTAACACGTTTACACGGAGTACATAACGGCTGCTTTATCTTTAATATAACTTTTACTTTTAATAATTACAAACATATAATAATTAAATACATTATAGAAATTAATTTTAACATTCGACTTAAATATGAATTTAAACTTAATAATTTAAGTAAGGAAACTTGTCAGAATCAGTTAAATAAGATTGCTCTGTTTATGAAGCTACTTTCACTTTCGTCTGTCCCGGAAATATAATAAAATTATCATTTTATCTGCATGAATTTAAAAACATAATGATCTTACACAGACAAATACACAGGAGATATTAAAATATACCAGGTGTCTGAGGATACAGATGCACTGTCTATTCTCTCAATCTCGGTATGTTAAGAAAACGGTCACCCATCCATGGACAAATCTGCGACAAGTTCAGCTTAATCTCGCAGATGTATTGATCGGCGCAGCTATTAATTAACCACGAGTTCCTCTTCTCTACGACTAACGCTGTAAGTGATGAACCACGCTATCAAGCCCTCGGCACACTGTCGTCGGGCATATAGCATAAATCGTGCATCGGGCGTTATGAGTATCAAATACGTTGAAATTTATACTATCCTGGCACACTGAACCGGCGTCTCATGCTTGGGCATCTAGTGGTGATTCAGGAGCATTACTAATTATCTATACCCCACTACACTAAAAGTTTTATCATTGTCACTTGGGAATATAATCCAAAGCTCCACTCAACCCCTTGGGGAAAATAGCGTGACGCTATTGGTATTGTACTATTGTAACCGCGAGGTGAGGGCGGTGAAGTAAGGTTATATTTTTTTTGGTTGATAAATAGATACTCAGTTGGGTTCATAATTGCTTAAATAGGATAATCTCAACAATTTTTATTTTGAATATACTACAGTATTATAATGTATAAAAATCTATCTCTATTTTTACCTAAGTTTTTAAAGTCTTACTGTGACAATATTATACTTACTGGTACAAATAATGTAGGAATGGCTCCTTTTAATAAAATTGTTTTTAGTCTGCCTTTTCTTTTATGTTTCTCAAGAAAATGTTTGCAGCAAATTGTACAGTTTTTCTTTGGATTCCAACCAACCCCCATAACCTTATCCTTTTTTATTCTATCCATGTTTGACAAAAGGCAAAATAAAATTACATTTTTAAACGTAAATTGAGCATTTATTTTCATTCCTCTCGTTGTGTGGTCGATTGATTCATTATAAGCATTCAAGATAAATATCGACATTAATTTTGATATAGTTGAGTCAATCTCTAGCGTGCATGTAAAATATTTCGTTTAAAAATGAATTTACTAAAATCATACAAATTATCAACAACATGACTTTTTTCTTTGCAAAATATCAAAATTAATAAAATAATTGAAAATATTTTATATTTTAAACAGTATATAACATACATTTTAACCAAAAATAGACGCGTCATAGCAGTAACGACATCTTGCAAATTTACCTGTGAAATGTGTAACCATCAGGATTATTTCTCTTATTGACACCACAGTCACTCATGGAACATGTAACCATTTTGGAAAACTATGAATTATAAACATTAAGACTATTATAATCTAAAAAATTACAAAATATCTAGCTTTCTATTTACTTGCGTGCCGACTTGTGCCGATCTGTCATTCAAAATCGGTTACAGGGTCATGAGATTTGGTATCCTTTTCTATCTTGCGTTTTGCCTTCTCTTCTCCCTTGCACACTATGTACGTCTATACGCCATATATTCTAAGTCTATGGTAAAATCATAAAGAAAAATAAAAAACGGAAATTAATAAAAGAGGAAAACGCTACACTTTAAACTTATGGAGAAATATTTCTTTTTCATTTGAATGATTACCTAACAATAAAGATATTATTTTCTGTTTTTAACGAAGTTTTGTATGACAGTGGGCATCGACGGCGAACGGGCGACCGCTCGCTATCTGTGTACGCAACCTGCCGACCCGTTCCACTGACAGCTCGCTGAAGGACGGCCTCTATCACGAGTACAAGAAGCACGGCAAGGTGGTTTGGGTGAAGGTTATTATGATTTATTGTTTAATGTTTATCGTTTATTAGTCCATTTATGATTTGCATATTGCATTATTCTAAATTAGCGTAGCCTTTGAAGCGTTAGAAAATATTTAATCTCGATAGTGCAGAGTAACTAACAGATCTGGATTTCATCAGATGTCGTTATAGTTATACATTAGAAAGGCAGCAGTAATATGGTCAATGAGGGCGTCCACGAATCTTCCTGCCACCATGGGTGGTGCTTAGTACTTTAGTAATGAGGTGAAATATTTAACAGATTTCATAGCATGGGAAGTTAATTTGTTAGAAAAGTGTAGAAATGAATGTTGTTTTCTGTAATATTAGTTATATTTCATACTAATTAGTTTAGATATGGATAAATAAAACTACAGATATTCCGAAGAGTAGATTTTAAGAATTATAGAAATTCAAATACAGCAGAGACTTTGTTTTGTATATATTATCTATACTTAGGGTGCTTACATAAAGAAACAAGTTTCCGGTACAGATAAATATGTGCATAAACGTGTGCACATATTTATCTGTACACTAGAAACTGAATAACGTATAATTAAATCGCAGCTTTTCAATGATGATGAAACTGGGGATTATGCAACCATCTGCGTAATAAATAAGTTCAGATTAGTCCCAACTAGCGACATCTGGTGAGCGTAAGATTATAAGTCCCTATTACTGCGATCGACAATCTGCAAGGTTTAGCGATAAGGGCAAATCGTGGGTATCCAGAAATCTCATTTATAAAACGAAAATGGTGTCCTACATGGATAAATGGATATCGTATAAAATAAGTCAAACTAATCAATAACAGTTATTTGGTCAATTAAGTGGTCGACGAGTGCTTTTTTTTTGAGTATACACTTGGAAACACGACAATAATAACAGTACTAACCATTGAAGACATGTATATATAATTTGAACCATTGAAGACATGTATATGTAAAATAATTTTGGTTATGCAGGTTGTCGGACAAAATGCCGACCGGTATGCAGTGGTGCGATTCAAGAAACCGTCCGATGTGGATAAGGCGCTCGAAGTCTCGCAGGACAAATTGTTTTTCGGCTGCAAGATCTCAGTGGCACCGCACCAGAACTGCGACGAAGACGCCGAGTCCGCCAAACCTTACGAGACTGATATCGACGAGTATCATCCCAAGGTTAGTTATACTTTTGCCAACGAAGAGCGATACCAAATGTTAACAAAACCAATGCAAGGTTATTAGGAATAGCAGGGATACGTAACTTTTTGATAGTTAGATTATATATTTAAGTAGACAATATAGTTTTAAAAAATTCCTAGCAAACCAAAAAAATAGACTTTATAAATTTTGTTATAATTTGAATTATTGTATAATGTAGATTTAAATTAAATAACGAGAATAGTAATAATGTTTCTGAATATCGCTTGCCTAACAACTGTGTGCCCGGTGTATGGTAATAGGCTTGCCTCCTGTTACATAGGGACTTAAATATACCAGGAAAAATGTGGGTGTTAATATCTCTGCCTATCCCTTAGGGGATACAGGACTGATGATATGTTATGTTATGTTTATGGAAATGAGGATAAAAATATTTTTTTTAGTAAATCATTGTTTATTCAGTCAGACGCCGATTCTTCTGAGTCTGTAGAGTCTGAATCAGAGTCTGTAACACGTATAATAAATTTATCCCTCACGTCATCTACAATAAAATCAAGTTTGAAAAACTTATCTTCTTCTTTTTGAACATGCTCCACACATTTCTTCCACCAATCAGGCGTGACTTTCGCCATACCGTCACTTAATAATGCTTTAACTTTTTCAAATTTAAACGTAGTATTTTTTCTAGCTACGTGCCCCTTTACATCAGCACAAATCAACTCAATGGGGTTTAATTCACAATGATTAGTCTTAGGCCAAGTTTCTTTAACATATTTGTATGTATTAATAACCATATTTTTTCATTCACAGTAAAACTAGTCACCTAAAATTAAAAATTAAATTAAAATGATATACATACTTTACAGACATGCATCTTTAATAAATTAAGAAAAGTTTTATTATTACAGTTGTTGTTTTTTTAATAACTTTAAGATAACTTTAAAGTACACTATAAGAACTAAGAAGTTATAATTAAAAATACTAAACAACGTTCATATATATCCTATCCCTATACATACGTTTTGGACGTTTCTTTTTCGGAGAAGTAAAATCTGTTGATTTATCTCTCGACGTACTTGGTTGTGGCTCCATCATTAACCACTTTTAATAGAAAACAATTATCAACAAAACAAAATAATAATAATTAAATAAATAACAAAAAATAACAAAAATTTTAACAAATGACTTGTATCACCACGAGCGCGTTCCGAATGTTGGCGAACCCGTCTTGACCCTGACATGTTTTTGCCGCGAAAAGGAGATATTACGACAAATACACAAGATGGAAAGAGATAATAGATTGTCAACTTTGTACGTGGTAGAGCCATGCTGCAGCTATATTAGTAGTATAGTTGTAGCACGAATGGGTCGGCTCGACCGGGGAAGGACCACGCTCTCACAGAATACCAGCGTCAAATAGCAGCTTAACACTGCTGTGTTTGTAAGGTAAATGACCTTTCGTATCGCTGCTAGTTGGCTCAACTATAGTATATATTAAGGTTAGCTATCATATATTTCAAAATGGCTTTTGAGGACTAAGATGGAATACCTCACTATCTGTAAAAAGGGTCTCCAGTTCTTTAAACTCATCGTACGAAACATCCCATATATTCACATCAATCACACTGTCGACGGGCAGCGGCGTAAATGATGCGAAGTGTGATACTGCAAACGTCAATACGCGCCTGCTAATGGTGATTACGGCAAATGAGATCTACAAGGGAAGTGTGTCATGATCAATAGTTGAATGTTATGAGCCATTGAAGATACATAATAGTATATATTATATTCATTTATAGACCATAATATTCAAAGTATATTGTTTAGTTGGTTGGTTGCCTATAAGAGATCACTTTCAGAGTAATAAGATCGCCGGTTGTACATATATGTATATATGAAATTGTACTTCAACTCCCATTATGTATTTCAGTGTACGATAAAGAATAAGTTCATATTTTTATAACGATGCGTGTTTTGTCCACAGGCGACTAGAACCTTATTTATTGGTAATCTAGAGAAGGATGTGACACAGCAACAGCTGAGGGATAAGTTCAAGCACTATGGACGGATAATTGAGATCGATATAAAGAAGGGCAGCGGCGGAGGTGCTGGTTACGCCTTCTGCCAGTACCAGTCCATATCTAGCGTCGTGGAAGCTATCCGTGCCATGGACGGGGAGTATGTTGGCGGTTCGAGGGTCAAACTGGGCTTCGGAAAGCCCGTCGCTACCACCTGCGTTTGGGTCGATGGCCTCACTGAGCATACAGAAAAGCAGGTGTGTAAAAAGTATAAGAATAAAATGTTCCGTCCCTGAATTGCGATTTTGTTAGTTCCTTATTATTGACTGTAGAAAGTTTCAATTATCGTCAATGGTTACATCTCTAAGGGAACATTTTCTTATTCATTCTAGAGGCGGTTGCTTGACATGTTTTCATGATTTTCCTAATATTATTTCAAGCAAACAAGCCACTAATAAGTTCAATAGCATAAATAATATTTTACTTTTAATTTACAAGCTGAATAGTAGTAGAATAACTTCGATCAACAATACCAACTAGATAACGGGTCACGTACAAAATCATAGCTAAATGCTGTCCGCGTGAATATATACTAATACAGCTACATTTGTTTACTAAAGAACTGAGACAAAAAATTAAAACAGGTTTATGTTCAACCCAATTACAACCTTGGCGTCTAGTAATAAAGTCACACAAATCTTACGATCATTAGTTACAAAAAAGAACAATTCAATGCATTACTCCTGTCACTTGGATATGAAAAGACATAGGTTAAATAACATTTAGTGTGAAATCAACCTTAAGTAATAACAAGTTAAAGTATTTTTTCCCGTTATTGCTTTGCAAGCTACGTCGTTTTGTTTCGTTTCTGTTTGCTTCTTCGAATTTAGCTACAAAAGTTATGGAGTCGCGGTGAACACTAAAATAATTTATAATATGATCATAAGTTTAGTTAAAATTATTTACATTTTGGGCATTTATGTTTGTTAGTATACATACTTTCCACACTAGCCATTAAATATAATATTGTATGTAGTATAATGATTGCATTTGTTTAGATAATTCATTATATATTTATTTTAGTTTTTGTAGTATATGTATTATTCATATATATATATAATCTTATGAAATTACACAAACAGAGACAAAAGTAACAATTACCTTTATTTAAAGTTCTGGTAACAAATTACTAAAAATGATTACAATACAAATCTACTCCATGTACTCTACTGTTCTGTTTTACAAATGTTTACGCGTGTATTGGCCAACCTTGGCAAAACATTTGTAGGGGTGCTTTAAAATCGGTAATTTTGTTTCAAATATGATAATAGTTAGTTTAGAGCTTAAAGTATAACTTATTCTACATGTATTTAACAAAAGTCAGACACTCCGGCTGTTAAATTGCTTTTTCGGGCATTATTCTTGCAACTTTAAATATACATTGCGGCATTGTGAAACGTGTTTATATTGGCTGTGTTTCAAGTCAACTAAACGAAATAAGAACTCACGTCTCCAGTGCGCTGTTATTTACTTCGCCATATTTTTTGCGCCGACCCGATATCTAGTTGGTATTGTTGATCGAAGTAGAATAACTAAACAATAACTAACGTAGTACGTCAGACGGATGCAATCAGTTGGAATGGCTTCATGTCATCTGCTCGCCGTATGCTGTACCATCTCCTGCATATTCCACATGTAGTATTTTTATTACTTCCCGCTTAAATCATGCTCCCTGATGGAAATGTGGTAGCTTCAAATTAATTTTTTAATCAACTGATATGTTCAGAACAACTCAAAGAAATATCATCGGGAAAATTATACATAATGATTTCAGTAAAAAGCTTCCGGTGTAAATGAATTATATTGACAAATAAGGCGATTTTTTTTTGTTTTATCGTATTTTTATTTTTTGAACATCATCATTGCTAAACACAGGCTTCCCGCACAAATTGCCTTATAGGGGGAATATTTGCCCGCTTGGCAGGTGGGTTAGCAACCACTGTTTTTTATTATTTTGAATTGTTAACAGAAAGATGCTTCTGCCCATCTGTTTCAGCTTCCCTCTGTCGTCTCTTCCAAAACAAACGAGATGATATTGGGTAGTGGATTCTCAAACACTGCCACGACACAATGGTGTTCGTTCTTTTAAGTACGACTAAACTAAATTTACCAAAATATTATTCTGTGGAGGACTCCAGTCTACATCCGCACACGTAAATGCTTGTCTACCAGACAAGTCAATGTTATGCTCGAATGCTCACGCTCACAGTCGACATTATGGTTCCATGTTAAAGTCTATATCAGTCATCAACTATTATAATTCTATTTTGAGGCGATCTCTATCTAGAGATACCATAGGGGTAATTTCACTTTGATTCAGATACGTGGTTAGGGTTATTTTTATAATATAATATCTATTTTGAACGTTAGCAATGTACGGGAGACTATTATTAGCTTCGGAAATTTTACGTTACGAAAAAACGGAAAAACATTAAAAAAAGAATATCTCAACATTATAAAACATGCGAACATTTTTAATAATAACTTAGAGCAATATATAAATAAATGCAGCTTTAAACATTAAAATCGGCCTTATTCATAAAAATCGACGTCAATGAAAGTAATGACATTAGAAATAGATGGGTATAGAGATAATAAATACTAAAACTGAACGAGTGATAATAAAAGAGTATAATAAGCCGTTGATGTTTGTACAAAAGTGACACAATTGGCATAATGTAATTATTGTTTTTTTTTTAACTATTATAGGCTTGTGATTACTATCCTACTTGATGGTATGTGGTGGTGAAGCCAAAGATGGTAAAACGCACTGACTTAGTTTATTGAAAGCCTATTCATTTTTGTTTTAAAGACATTCAATTGTAGTGTGATGGAAATACAGATATTAGCAAATTATTTTATTCCTTGACCAGAATAGAATCCAGTTTTTCGTTCTGTACCGGGGTGTCATAAGGGAACATTATGGGAGATGAGAGAAGAGTCGAGGCCTCCGATAGATGTTGGTACGTCATCACAACATGAATAACAATTACGTGGCAGAGCCTTGTTGTATATTATGGTTGTAGCTTGAATGGGTTGGCTTGATTGGAAAGGGATTACACTATCACAGAATATTTTTATTGGAAATTAATATTCTATCTTAGTCCTCAGGGGTGATAACACATTGGCATTTTGATCTTTAATGGAGGATAGATGTAGATGTGTATTGGCTACAGCATCCACTTAACACGAGGTGCACTGTGTAGAGATAGCATTGCGCATGTGATGTGTGTGGCGGTCGCGGCGGTCGCGGTGGAGTGAGTGGGGTGCGTGCGTGTGCAGGTGCTGCAGGCGGTGTCGCGGTGCGGCGCGGCCACGTCGGTGTGCGTGGACCGCGCGGCGGGCGCGGCGCTCGTGCACTTCGAGCAGGCGGCGGCGGCGGGCGCGGCCGTGCGCGAGCTGCGCCGCGTCGCCGCGCTCGCCTCCGCCGCGGACCCCGACCAGCCGCGCCTCGCCGTCGACTACGCCTCGCGCGAGTGCCAGGTGCCACCACTACGCCTCCACGCCTCCACTCCTCCACATCCTCACTCCTCCACATCCTCACTCCTCCACACCTCCATACTTTTGCGTATCTACACCATGTATACTACACGCCCCTAATACATCGCGCTCCTGCGGCCTTACTATATAAGAAAACGCTCTCATTATTTATGTGCACAGTGTGTCAACGTGGTTTGAAGTCTATATCAAATATTAAGTATGTTACTTTATTTCGTATTATTTGTAGTAACTGTCGTAAACAAAAATTCAATTAACATATCCATCTCGCTACTCGCCCGTACTTGCACGATCCACAGCTGTATTTCCACTTCTAAATATAAACCCGCTAAACTTAAAGCTGTCAACACAAACATCAAACTATAATACACTTTTATACAATCAGACGTTTCTTTGCTTTCTGTTTTCATTGTGTTAAATATTATGTTAATTAGATAACTACATTATCGTCCCGTGGATGTCGTAAGAGGCGACATAGGGAAAGTGAAACAGGCCATGGACAACAACTTTTTTCTAATAAATCAAAAAAATAAAAAACTGCGGTTGGTCAACTCGCCTGCCAAGCGGGGCAATTATGGGAAATGTATTCTATTGCGAAGGCCTATGTTCAGCAGTGGACTTATCTAAAGCTAATTCCACAAAGCTAAAATCAGCGTGAAAAAGAAAAACGATGTGCCTTACCAAGTTGGTAAAGCACCTCCCGCTCTCCCTCTAACATGTATTATCATTTTCACCACTATTGCCAACAGCTCTACCCATAATCTAATAATATGCTATACGCCACCAAATCTAAGAAATACCTTTTGACAGCTGATACATTTACTGGACATCCCAACTGAAAAATCGGTACATACAATACTCAATTCTTAAGAGAAATCGATATTTTAATCGATTCTTAAGTATTTGTAATCAATTACATTTTGATCTAGAATAATATCAGAATAAATTAGAAACAGATAACTCATCACACAAAATTTACTAGTTTCTTGATATTTATTGCTTACTGCTAATTTATAGAAAAAATGTTTTATAAATTAAAGGCTGCACTAGATTGGAAATTGATTTAATTACTTTCACTAAGACTAGATGAGTTGTCGTCGTCATTATCGTTGTTTACATTCATGAATTACTTGATTTTCTATAATGCATTCAAAAAGAATGTCTCTATCGTAGTTGTCCATAACAATGTTCTTTTTTTTCTACATCATATTGGTCCAGTTTTTGTTTGTGTAGTAATTGTATTTTCTACAAATCCGCCTCCGGCGGATCCCACATGGCAAATTATGAGGTGCCCACCTTTTCCCACGGGAACGTGTCATCTGTTCATGTCTGCTGCTGTTGTGTGTTGTAATGAAATATAATTAATTCATAAATCTTTGGATTCATGTAAATGGTTATTTAAAATCGTGTGATTACACTTGCACAAAGTTATTGTGAAATGATTAATGTGAAACGTTAAAAGGTATTTCTTAGATTTGGTGGAGTTTACGAAAAACACACCGATAATACACATCATCAGGATAAATAGACTGCCTATGTCTAAACTATGAATAGAGAGGAAAGTGAGATCACATCTGAACGATACTTGTATAAAATTCATACGGGTACCTTGAAATGTGGACAATAGTGGGGTCCTTAATCTGTATGATATCACCACAGTCAGTGCCACACTGACAAAGAGCGACAGTGTGCACCAATTGTATAAACATCTCAAATACACTGTCTGTCTGTAATCTTATTGTTAAACATAACATAACATAAACACTCACTCCTGTCACCGAGAGGGGTAGGCAGAGACTACGGACTTCCATTTGGCACGATCCTGGCACACCTCTCGCCTCCACGTCCATATATAGATACATGCTCGTCGGTTAAGGGTACTCTTAATTTGGCCCTTTTTCAATATTAACCACTAATTACTAATGACTTATGCCGCTATCATACACTTCTTCATTATAGACAAAACATGGACATTAATATAAATTTTCGATGCCAAAACATCAAACCGTGTCGAAACAGATGTTACAAAAATTACGTTGTCTACAATTGATTATCATAATGTGTTAGCTTACATATTATAATATAAAATTGTTCCACAAACAGCCGTTATATTTTATGTAACTTATTTTTCGTTTAACACGCCGATAGCTGTTCAACTAAGATAATGTTTTACATACATAATTATGTACCGATAAAGGCTACGAAAATACGAGTAAGGACAAACTTAACGCATCGTCATAAAATAAGCAAGTAAAAAAGGTTTAAGCACAAGCAATACATATTACCCGTAAAACATTAATTGAAAATTTAAACAAATGTTTAAATTCCGTTCAGTAAATATGTATTTTTTTGTGTTGTCATGGAATCATAAGATAAAACTGTGTAATAAAAATAAATGGTGGTAAAACCATCTCGTTGACGCCAGGCGTAAGTACCCATACGGGCAACGGGAAGCAGCGTCAAAGGTGCGAGATTTCCAGTACTGTGATCGCTAATTCGCCTGCTAAGAGTGGTGACGGAGGGCAAATGCTCCCTGCAACGGAAGAGGTCGATGTTCAGCAGTGGACGTTTACAGGGTCATGATAAAGCTAATAGTAAAGTACAAGATGAGTAACGTCTAAATATCGTAAAACATATCGGCGAGCAAAATATCGCGAAAAGGGAAAAAGTTATAAAATTTTGATAAACAAATCATTGCACCCGTTTTTCTATTTTAAAGAGATAAAATTAAACAAAAATTGAATTGAATAACTTTTAAAAAGTAAACAAATAATTAATAATACAGAGAAGGGAGCTCCTTTTAGAAAATTAGACAATATTTTCAAATGTTTTAATTATTTAATTAAATATAATTAATAAAAAAATAGTTTTATTATTTTATGTTAATTTTAGGAGGCTTTCTACGATCAACTAGAGAAACACGGAGGATCAGCCCCTTTAGCAGGATCCGAGAGATTAACCGGTGATCTTTCTACTCGCTACATACCATCTGTAAGACATGAACAACTCCGGTTAGTATTACTATAGAAATATTAATTTGACAGCTTTTGAGTTCGCCCTCAGTTAAAACATTTTATTTCATTAATAGATACGATGGGACAAGAACGCGAGCACCAAGCTTTAGTCGTGGGTCTTCACGAACGCCGCGTTATCCAACACATGAACATTATGATCCGGCGGAATATGCGGCTGATCGGCGATACAGGTAAGGTATACAAAACACAAAATGCATAATGTAATCGACGTCAATTTTCCTATTTCAATTTTCTTCGAATAATTTGAAGGTAAATTGGATAGAAATAAATATTTTTAATAATTGAGTAACTTGGCCATATAACTACTTTTACCTAAATTGGCCATATACTACTTTTGCGGATTTTATCGCGTTCAATTATACTTATTTTTTTAATTCCCGGCGTTAATAACACAGTAAGTTTATTCTGCGTAGATTCGATCAAAAGTAATAAATAAAAAGCTGAAGGTACTACGGCTTAACTCTGACATCGGGATGTCAATCACTTCAGTCCCCCGTGACGTGCTAGAGTTCTGCTGTCAGTGATTGTTGGTTACACGTGTTTTTGTACTGAAATAATTTTTTAATTCTTTTCCGATTCAAATTTGCGTAAAATTTCTCAATTTTCTTTGTGTTGTCTGTGTGTAATGTTTGTTACTTTTTGAGTATTATTTGTTTAGATAGTTCATGTAGATCTTTGTGGCGTCGATGGATGTTGACGGGAGAGACGCTGAACCACCGGCTTTATGCGGTGATTCTAGCTATGGCTTAGCTTTCCATTGACTCAAGTTGGGGGTTGATACGTATTTTTACAGAAAAGTTACACTATTATAAGCACACACACAAAGTTACAACATGCGGAAACGCGTAATTTTTGAGAAAAAAGTTATTGAAAATCAATTATTCTTGCATTGTTTATATCTAATCCTACCATAAAACTGACGCCATTTTGTAATGTCATTGTCGTCAGTAGGGATGTCGATTCTTTCCGAAAAAGTTCAATTTTTAAATCGATTCAAATCGTAAACTGATGTATCGATTCACAAAAAATCGATGTCTAAAATATCTATATTTTTTTATGTTTGCATTAATAATGTAAATATAATTCCATTTTATGAAAAACAAGAAAGATACCATAATAAATGATCTCTTATTGAAATTTGTTTTATTGTAACAGTACCAATTAGGGCAGATAACAAATAAAATAGGTTAGGTTCAACTTATGTCAAAGAACCGAATTGATTGACCCCGACTCCACCTGGTACGAGTCTGTCCTACCCCTAGAGTGGTTTTAAAGAGCCGGAGGCGCGAATGGGGAGCAGCCTCCGCCTGCTGTAACAAATCTTAAGCATCGGACGAGGTGACCAACAAGCCGAAGCTGCGGAGGCGAAGAGAGATGCCTGCGATTTGTTACGCTAAGGCGTAGAGGCTGCTCGTTCCGCAGCGCCGGAGACGTAGCAGTCTCAAAATAGTTACAGAAATCGTTCTGAATCAGTCCTCCTTATTTTATGATGAAGGGCATTTTTTTCTCATAAAATGGATTTATATTTACATTATAAATGCAAACATGAAAAAAATATAGATATTTTAGAAATCGATTTTTTGGGAATCGATACATCAGCTTACAATTCGAATCTATTAAAAAAAATCCATCTTTTTCGGAAAGAATCGACATCCCTACTGACAATAACAATAAAAAAATGGCGTCAGTTTTATTGTAGGATTACACATAAACAATGCAAAAATAATTGGTTTTCAATAACTTTTTTCTAAAAAATTACGCGCTTCCACATGTTGTAACTTTGTGTGTGTGTTTTTTTTTATAGGATAAGGGTGACAAACGAGCACACAGTCCACCTGATGGTAAGTGGTTGCTGCGGCCCATAGACATCTACATCTATCCTCTGTTACAAATCAAAATGTAGATGCGTTGTCACCCGTGAGGACTAAGATGGAATGCCTCATTTCCAGTAAAAAGGGCCTCCGGCCACCTGCACTCACCAAGCGAAACGCAGAGGTAAACCTCTACTTCACGCTGGTTTTCTGTGAGGTCGTGGTACCTACCCCGGTTCGAGCCGGCCCATACGTGCGACAGCAAAAGCTGCCGCGTGGCTCTACCACTGTTAACGAATACGTGCTTGTAACGTGCTTATAATAGTGTAACTTTTCTGTAAAAATACGTATCAACCCCTAACTCGATGGGAGTCAATGGAAAGTCGTACCGATTCTAGCTCTGTCAAACGTAAACTTACAGATTCTTTGTACGTGGTAGAGCCATGCTGCAGCCATATCAATAGTATAGTTGTAGCACGAATGGGGCGGCTCGACCGGGGAAGGACCATGCTCTCACAGAATACCAGCGTAAAATAGCAGCTTAATGCTGCTGTGTTTCGTATGGTAAGTGTAGAGAACCGGAGACCCTTTTTACTGGAAAAGAGGCATTCTATTTTAGTCCTTGCGGCTGACAACGCATCTGCATTTTAATTCGCAAACGAAGATAGATGCAAATGTTTATGGGCCCATGCAACCACTTACCATCAGGTGGACGGTGGACTGCTCGTTTGTCACCCTAATACTATAAAAAAAAACCCAGCTTCCCAAAGAAAAAATAGGGCACGAAGATAACCCTTCGGCCTCCTATCAAAATACATTCGTCCACTCTGAATTCCAAGAAAAAAAGTATGTAGATAGCGAGCGAAAAAGGCCCTTTCGTTATTCATTTAAGTTGCTCAGAACCTGATCCATCAGCAGGTTATACAATTAGACCCGTGAAAATTGCCAATATCCTCTCACAAAATAAAGTAGCCAATATTGAAAAACAGGGCATCAAAATCTTAGGGCGTAATAGAGTTATTGCTTCTAAAACAGCTACTGATGCTAATAATTTTACTGACTCAGTTTCTTTCGCAATATAAACTTTCTGCTGTCAATCCAAGCTTTAATGTTACTCGTGGGGTGTGATTAGGGTATCCCAACTGACATCTCAATGGAGGAATTAGTTTGCGAATCTGAGCTCCCTCCTGGCAGAGGGGAAATCATTAAAGCCAGAAGACTTAATAGAAAAAGGTCAAGAACGGCGATAAAGTAGAGTATGTCCCTACTCAAACTATTGTCCTCACCTTCTCAGGACAAGTGCTCCTCTCCCATATATACTGCTTTTAAGCTACAATACCTGTAGATACTTACCTTCTCCTTACCATCTAATGTCTAAAATGCTGCTGTTTCGGTCATGTCACAGCTCAATGTCGATCTAAACCACGCTGCTCCAGTATGCTCTTTGCTGTATTTAATACAGCAAAGAGCATACTGGAGAAAATTGTCCCACAGATTCCCAACCTGTATTTTCTGCTCTGCAAATCATTCGACCATTGAAAAAAGTTGCCCAGAACACTCAAGGCAAAAAAGCTATCAAGATAATAATGACGCAAGAGAATGTGTCATACCTTGAGGCTTCTGCTCGTTGTCCAGCTGCCAGAAGACCTCATTCTGATGTTGCGTCTTCACAAGTTCCTGCAAGCCTCTCCTCTCTACTCAGGCACCTATAAACCTTCCTACTTTTCTATCTCCTTCCCAATCCTATAGGAAAACCATCTATAAAGTCACATCTATCCCAGTGCAATCTTCAGTAGGTTATGATAAAGTTTCACATTATAACATTACAATTACTCCTTCCTCCTCTCCCCAATGGACATGCTTCACAAAACAATATAATATCCTCTAATGATAATCTTCTAGAAAAACTTGTGGCCTTCCTTACAGATATTGTTGGCAAATTCGATGATTCCCATTTACAGTTCTACGTGAAAAACAAATTAGATGTCCTCTGTTCCAGAATATATAAAGTTCAAGTCCCTAACCTTCCTCCGGTGGAATTGTCAGAGCATCAGGAATAAGAAACCTGATATAATTCACTTAATTAATACTTATAATCCTTCAATACTTGCAGTATCGGAGACCTGGCTTAAGCCAGAGTCCACATTTACAATCCCAAGCTTCTCCTGTTACCGTAGTGATAGGAGTGACGGCTATGGCGGTGCTCTGATTTTACTAAACAGGACCATTCCTTTATCACCCATCCCGCTTCTTCCTATACTAGACAATATAAATGCAGTAGCTGTTAAGGCTTTGGACATCACAATTCTATCCATTCACATACTATCTCCCACTCCTTGTATTCCAGAACTCAATTTAATTCTATCAAGCATCTCCCCACCTTACATTGTTCTAGGAGACTTGAACAGCCATCATGTTATGTGGGGTTCCCATAAATCTGACTCTTTTTCTTATTTGCTACTTGATGTCTTCAATGAATTCAATGATATAAGACTTGCCTCCTCCAATAACAATTTTCTGGTAGGTGTTTTTATTGATGTTTGTGCGGCATATGATAATGTTGTTCTCCCACTGCTCAGGCAAAAAATGCATCAGCTGAACATTCCTGAGAGGATAACAAATTTCGTATCAAACTTACTTTCACATAGACGCATATTAGTGCGTTCTGAAGGAAGACTTCTACCAGCTAGATTTATCTGGAAGGGATTACCACAAGGCTCTGTCTTGAGCCCTTTGTTACATAGTCTCTACACTCATGATCTAGACCGATCTGTGAATTAACTAGGCAATGTCCTGCAATATACAGATGATCTAGCCTTATTTGTAACTGATGCCTCTATTGCCAAAGCTACCTCCCGTTTATTCCAAACTGTCAACTTTCTTAATAACTAGCTGTTTGAGCATGGCTTATCAATACCTCCTTTGAAATGCAGTACTGTGGTTTTCTCTAGGCGAAGGCATATACCAGAAGTGTCCATATATATTGAAAATACCCTAATTCCCAAATCTGAAAATCAGGTGAAGATTTTAGGAGTTATTCTGGATAACAAGTGCGAGCGTGTGAGCGAGAATTTTAATACTGTATCCCAATTGTTTAATTTAGACCTATTCAACACAAGTATCATTTCGGCGAGACGAGTTCTGAGTAAGCCATTTTTTGATTCTAGCTGATGATCCTTTTTACTTCTTTTTATTTTTATTTTTATTTTTATTTTTTTTTGCTATTGTTGATCTGTAATGTTTAGTTACTTAATGCACGATGTTACTTAGCTCGGTTGGTGCGACAGTGTCCTGTTAGCTGTCGGTAACTCACCGCATGCAATTATTTATATAGTGCCACTATTTGCGAAAACCCATAAATGGTTTCCTATTGCTTAATTGTTTTCTACCTACTCTGTTTTTGTTAACCGAGGGATTTCCGATTAAATAAATAAATAAATAAATAAATAAACAAAATATGACAGGAATTCGTCATCTATCATATTTTGCTTCCAAATCTGAAAAAAACCTCAATTTAATCCGATCCCTATCAGGTGTTTGTTCGGGTTCAGACCCCTACTCCCAAAAGCTTTTATACAATGCTCCAATTAGAAGTCATTTTGACTATGGTTCCTTTTTACTAGAGCCATGTAGCAAAATGGCTCTTAATATCTTGGACAAAATTCAGTCAAATTGTCTACAGAATGTGTTGAGCCCCCCCCCCCCCCCATTTCTACGCAGACAATACCTCTCAGATAGGTATTGTTCAAAGCTGCTTGTTATTTACACCATCCTCTCCTCTCCAAACTTCGTTTTTTGTATCAGTCGATCAGGGACTCTCCATATTGGTTCCACCAGGATTTGCCATGAAAAAGTTATATTAAATTAGTCAATGTTAACTCTCCTGTAAAAAATCCCGTAGTAATCCACTTTTCAATATCCTATACGAGGCTCTAATTTCAACCCAGACATTATTTCGGAATAGATAAGAAAACTAATGAAGCAAATAAATTAAATATGCTCCTTTTCCAAAATTGGCATGATTGGTTAATTATGTATAGTGATGCTTCAAAGCTAAACGACGAGGGATTATTTGGGTCCGCAATGTGGATGATCCCTAACTACAAGATTATTTTAAATTTTAACTCACTGTATTCACAGGTGAGTCTTTAGCTATCTTAGAGGCAGTCTTATATGCGGAATCTCACAGTCTGGAAAGGACTCTCATTTTCTCAGACTCCCTCAGTTGCCTTCAAAACATAGCATCCAGTCCTTTTCACTCTAAGATAAGCTACCCCCTAATTTTAAATATTAGAAACTCTCTGTACAACTGCCATAAAAAAGGACTGAAAATAGTCTTGGCTTGTATCCCTAGCCACTGCGGGATTCAGGGTAATGAAATTGCGGATCATTTAGCTAAAGAAGCCTCTAAATCTGGCTCCCTCCCTAAACAATGCCTCTATGCATATGACCTCCTACCAAAGGCTGGTTCCAGCATTCTGTCTACATGGCAAAGTAACTGACATCAGTCTAAACTTTTAAAATGTAAACACTATTCAAAGTCCAAATTAATATCGCAGCAAAACCCCTGGTTCTTTCAATATCGCCACTTTTAGTAAAACAATCACCCTCTACTGTTTGTCGCCTTCGCTTTGGACATGCTTGTACTCCGGTACACTTGGCTAAACTAAGGATTAGGGATAGCTCAATCTGTGAATGTGGGCTAGACGAAGGACCCGTAAATCATCTGTTCTTTGAGTGTCCCAATCTTTCTCACGCTTTCTATGATATCCTGCCCAATTACGTCCCGCGTCTTGTAAGTTTCCAGTATTTGTTGTTCCTAGTGTATACTCCTTTTGTAAATATTTTGTGTGATTTTATTCGTACTAATAATATTAAACTATAAAATTACTAATCAATATTGGTGATGGTATTTAAAAATGTGACGTCTTTTGTTGTAGATTGTGAACCCACTCGTAAAATTGAGAACTCTTAATGTAACAAATATTTACTTGTCACTCCCATTCCTGACTTCACATTGGCAGAATTCTATCAAGAGAAGCCATAATTTAAAAGAAGAAGAAGACCTCGTGTTGTAAAGCACTCGAAACGTCGGGAATTACAATAAAATAAGTATAATTAAACGCGATAAAATCCGTAAAAGTAGTTTTATTCGATGTGTAGTGTTCGCGTAAATATAACAAATCATTATTTTTAATAATTTTTTAATTCAATACAGGGTATATGAGGAGCTAGGTTCGAGTCCACAGACGGATGACACTCCATATGAAGATCGGTTACAGTCAGTCGTAGTGTCACCACATCGTACTCATAGACATAGGAGAGACTCAAGTCCCGAGGATCGAAAACATTCAAAGGTTCGTAAATTTACTTAATTGTTAAATAAGTTAAGTGCAAGTTGTGTTAAATATAGAATAAGTATAATCAACTGAAAACATTTTATATTGTTCCTTTTATTATTGTAAAATAAATAATATACAATAACATTACATTCATGCATAATATGCAAAATAGTTGACATAAAAAATACATACCTCATTGTTGAAGTGTGGTCAAATACATAATGATTTGTATCGTATATAAGTGTATCAATTTGGATTTGTATGGGGCCTTGAATTACCTGTCTACTGAATGATTAATTAACTGCTTACCTCATACCACCGAAACGCCTATAAATGTTTGTGTTGCTCAAATAAAGCCATCGCTCTTAAATCGAGCCGCTAGTTATAGATTTGTAATTGATATTTATAATTTTGTAGTAAGTGAACAATTGTGTAAATAATTCAGGAACGGCATAGAAGCGTAGGCGGTGGGTCGCGACGGTCCCGGTCGGGGTCGCGCGGCGGGTCGGTGCACACGGTGCACACGGCGCACACGACGCACACGGCGCGGCGCCGGCACCGGCGGCGGCGCGACGGCTCGGAGTCGCGCAGCTCGCGCGCCGGCACGCCGCTGCGCGACGAGCCCGACGCGCCGCCCGCCGAGCCGCGCCGCCCGCCCCGCGAGCGCCCGCCTCTGCCCATGAGCCTGCCGCTGCCCAAGTTCGCGGCGCAGCTGCTGCGCACCGCGCCGCCCACGCCGCGCCCCACGCCCGCGCCCGCTCCCGACTCCCCGCCGCGGCCCCCTTCCGCCTCCTCCTCGAGCACGGGCTCGGCGCCGCACTCGCCCTCCCTGGAAGAACGGATCCGCAGTCTCGATGAAAAATATGAAAAATGGAGTGGTTCACGCGCTCTTGCCGACGCGCCCGACCGCGCCCGTCTTCGACACAGACTTCTCGAAGTCGATATCAACGAAGTTAAGCCGTCGGAGGTTGTGCGTTCGCTACTAGCTAAGCGTTCCGTGTTCGACGAGGACTCTGAACGTTTGGAGGGAACCGCTCGAGCCCCGAGTCCGGGTGGCAGCCCCCACACGCGCCCATCTCCGTGTGTGTCACGTACGCTGCGCTATCCGTTCCCATCACATCCGCCTCACTTACCGATGGTGCCTACGGCGACGGCCCCGGGCTCGACGCCTTCCGTCCCGCTTGTGGCGTTGCCCGGCGGTGCGCCGCCTCCGCCGCCGCCTCCGCAGCCGCCTCCGCCGGAGACGGAATCCGAATCGATAGACCGACCGGCTGACCCGCGTCTCAATAGACCGGAGAGACCCTATCGACTTGAGAAACTAGGAAAGTTTAATGAGAGTGATTATAGACTCGATTCACGAGTACGCTTAAGAACTCCTTCCGTTGACAAATTACAGACTGAAATGATAGACCGAAAGTCATCACCTAGTGCCGAAAGGGATAGAGTGGATGTAGAAAAAGAAACAAAAAGAGAAATTGAAAATAGGAAACGAGAGCCTTGTTCCATTGTACGAGAAGATGAAACAAAGTCGTATATTACAGACGTTGTAAAAGACTGCTTTGATAAAATTGATTCTGATATTAAAAATATAGAAAGAAGTCTTATGTCACAAGATGGAAACCAAATTGAAGAAAGCTTAAAGAGATCAGACGATAAATTTCCAACATTACTGAGCTCCATAAAAACGGAAAGAATTTTCAACCAAAATGAAACATTACTTGTAAATAACAATACAGTCAATTGTAATAATATTGAATCAGACATAATAAAACACCACATAAAGAAAGAAGAATTTATGACATATGAACCGCCTTCAAATAAACGACAATCACCTGAAGAATTTTTATTTAAACGTATACATCATATAAAATCTGAAACGTCCAAAGATGAAGATCTAAAACCCAAGTTAAACTGTGACAACAACTTAGATCATTGTTCTAAATTATTCAATAACCTTGATAGTAAAAATGTAACTTCAGGTACATCACAGCCTTCTAACCATTTAAACGCAGTAAATTATTTAGATACAAATAAAAAAGTTGAAGTAAAGCAGGAATTAATAAATAATGATGGTAACGAAAAATCAAATCCAAATTTCTTTGACTCATTCAACATGGATAAATGTGAAAAAGAGAATATTGTGTTAGAAAATTCTGATAAATCAAAGGCAGGTTGTGTCATTTTGAGTCCCATTGATAAAAAGCATTCGGACACTAGAAATCTTGAAGATAATGTACGAAGCGATCACGATAAGTCAGTAAAATACTCTAAAGAGCGTGTGGATAAGGATAAACATGAATGTGAAAGAGAAAAGTCGAAGAAAAATACTAAACTAGAACGGCAAGATAAAGACAAAAAATTAAAAGAAGAAACAAGTAGTCATAAACCTCATTCCGAGAGATCAGAAAAAATAAAAATTGAAAAAGATTTGCCTGATAAAAATGAACGGGATAGTGAGAAGACGAAGCATGCAGATGATAAGGTGCGTCATGATAATCATAAGAAGGACAAGACCGAAAAAGATAAAAGAAAAGAAACATCAGAAAATGAACCTGTATCTAGCAAATTAAAAAGAGACGATAAACACAAATCAACAAAGAAAGATGCCATTGAATCTAAAAGAGATCATAGTAGAAAAGAACATGATGCAAAGCATAGCAAATCTGCTAAAGATGAAAATTTTAGAGATTTATGCCGCAAAGACTCCACTGACTCTTCCACTTCAAGGGCTTCTCATGACTCATCTAAAATAAGAGATTTAGAAAATCATGAAGGTAAGGAAGAAATAAAATCAAAAACAAAGTTAGGCACCGACTTGTCTTTAAAACATGATATAGAAAAAGAAGTATCACAAAAAGTAGTGGATACAAAATGTGATAATATGGCGAAAATTAAAACTGATATAAAAGAGGAAAAGCCTTTTTCAGATAACCATTTAAAAAATAAATCTGATAATCACTCTGAACACTGTTCGAAATCTAAAACTGAAATTAGTGAAAAACAAAGGCATTATTCACTCGATTCTGCCGGAATTGACTGTAAGCGTAAAGAACGCCTCAATTCTTGCTCAAGTTTACCTCCTAACATAGGTCATAAAAGAAGATTATCATCGCAAGAGAGTCTTGACTGTCAAAATGAAGATATAAAAAAGTGTAAGAGTGATATAAAATGCATTGAAAGAAGAGATTCGAAAGATTGTCGAAGTAATGACAGACATAAAACGACTAAGTTTAATAAGGGGCATTTTGCAAAAATAATAGAAAGTAAAACTAAAGATGATAAGAAAAATCAAGTCAAACCACCTGACGATTGCTTTACTGAAATGAAAGATAGTGAAAACAAAGAAATATCATCAGTATCTGACAAAACCAAGCATGTTAGAAAAAGTCCTAAGGAAGGCATTGATGAAAAAATACTTGAAAATTCTGATGCTCATTCTGATGCACTACAAAATGATTTAGATTTTTTGGCCACTTTAGAGTTACGATCAAGTGAAGAGGATGAAAAACAAAAAGCTCTTAGAAAAGAAATGAAAGAAAAGAAACGCATTCAACAGTTGCAGCAAATTCAAGAATTGCAAATGCAACAAGATGCACTGCAGCAAGCAGAATTATTAAATAAACTTAAAGAAGATAAAAAACATAAAAATGAGGATAAGAAAAAAGAGTTAGCTCGAGATAAACGCATGTCAACTGATCGCAAGAGTAAAGACGATAAAAATGATAATAATAAACGAAAAAATCGTAAACCACTTCATAGTAGTGATAGTTCTGATTCTGATGAACCTAAGAAACATTCTATATTTGACATTATCGATGACGAACCAACTTATATATCTATGTACGACAAAGTCAAAGCGCGGTCGTGCAAAAATATGCAAAAACAAGAAGAGGAGAAACGTCAAGAGAAAATCAAAGCAAAATTCAGCCAGCTTAAACAAAGTAGAGCAAAACGTGAAGAAAAGAAAAGGTCGAGCTGGGATGAAGACAGTGATTCGGACCATGAAAGAAGAAAATCACACAAAACTTCAATGGATAGTTCTTCTGAAGATGAGCAAATTGTTCTTCACAGTAAGAAACGCGAAAAATTACAAGCGTCTAGTGTAGACTATGATCGTATGAAGACTATTGATTACTTTAATGCCCACACAATTGAAGAAGATTCTTGTAATAAATTGTCCCGAAAAAATTCAAGAACTCGCATCTTATCCGACACCTCTGATGATGAGAGTTCAAGAAGAAATGTTTGTAGAAGTCCTGATTTTGGTACGAAAATAAAGAAAGAATTTCTATCGGATTCCGAGTCGCAGCAAGGCAGCAGAGAAACTGAGAGTCTCCTAAAAGAGTTCGGCGAGGATAAAGTTAAGAAGACTTCTCTATTGAATTTGTTTGGCAAATCGGACTCAGATGATCATAAGTTAAAGTCTCGAGAAATTGATAATGAATTTAAAATGCAATATGTAAAATCAATTTCTAATGATCTTTCTTCTGAAGCCGAATCTGTAACCTCAAACCGTAATATTGGAGAAATTCGTAAGAAACATAAAAAGAAGCAAAAGAGGCATAAGTTGCCATTTTCAGACGAAGAAATTAAATTAGAAAGCAATAATGAATTCGAAAATGATGCAAAACATAAGAATTCAGAAAAGCTGCGTCGTCATAGTACTAAAAAGGAAAAACGTAAAGATAAAATTCGTGATAGTGTAGATGTAGAAGAAACTCAAGTACGAGAAGAAAAAATAAAACATAAAAAAGATAAAAAATCACCGAATCACTCGTTTGAATTACTGCAAGACTTGTGTCCAAATGCTAAAAAAGATGGAAAAATGGAAGATATATTTGGACCACTATCCGATGATTCCGATAAAGAAAGAAACAGTCATAAGTCTTCCAATACTAAAATAGATTATACGTCACATGACTTTGAATCTACTATTTCTACCCAAATTGATAAAGTAGAACAACAATTGAGTACAGAAGAATCGAAAAGTATGGAAAAAGATGAAAACAAACGAAAGAGAGATAAAAAACGAAAAGACAAAAAATATCTTGTTAAGGAGGATGATAATAGCTTGGACGTTGATGCTGTAAGTAAGGCTATAGAAGCAAGGCTGTTTGCTGATGCCACGAGCCATGATGATAACCGAGCTAAAAATGACTTTTTTGATAACCAAACAATATCTGAACAAATTGATCGCAAATTAGATGACATCTCTTCAAGAAACGATTATTCTAAATCAAACGATAGACACTACGATAAATTTAAAAAAGAGTTTAAAGATAGAGAAAAGAGAAAAAAGAAAAAGAAAAATAAAGAAGATCGACAAAACCGTAGGGATCATCATCACTTTCACCATCACGATAAAGTTAGTAAATTAGAAGAATTAATATCACTAGAAAAAACAGAAGTGGTTCCTCCTAAAACCCTTGTTAAAGATATACCTTTACCAGCAGAGATACAAAAAGTGGAAACAACAAATAAACCAGATGATTGCAAGTCACTCTCTGAGTCACCTAGCCTACCCAGGTTAACTGACACTCCGCCTCTATCATCGTTAGATGATAAAACTAAAAATGAGAGTAACTCTTCAAATATTTTAGAATTAATTAAAACTATAGAATTAAATGAGATTCCTATGCCACCAACATATGACTATACTATCCAAGATATTAGCGAAGTACCATTGCCGAAAGACCCTATCCCATCTAACAGTGAATTAAACAAACAAGAAACCTTTCTGCCGAGTTTTGATATCGATGATAATGAAAATGCTGTTCGTAGCATCTCAAACTTAGATATAGAATCTGAAAAGTCCGTAGAAAAAATTGATTCTCATTCCTCCAAACTTGACAAAAAAGTAGAAGAGAAGCCAAGAGCAATTATTTCACAAGAAGAAACAGAAGATGCTGTAGCTGCCCTTTTAGGAGAAAGTTTTGGTGGCAAAGAAAATACATTTGCTAATTGCTATGAAGAGGTGGAAAATGACAGTGTCCGGGAGATTGAAGTTGAAAGTACTGTTACTGAAAATGATAATATTCCCGAGGAAGATGCTGAAGAAATGCGACAAGCTGTGCAAAATTTAAATGCGAGTGAAATGGAAATTAAACCGGACACGCCAGTTTCTGATAATGATCTTTTACTTATTGATACTGATACAGAAGACGCCGAAGAAACACCACAAGACGCTATTGACAGGTTACCCGTTAATATAATCGCAACAAACCAATCCCTCAATAACAACTCTAAAATCAATACAAGTAAATCGGAAGAAATTTCAAATATTATTATTACAAAACCAAAAACAACTGTTGTTCACAACACAAGTCCGGAACCAAATGTTACAAAAAGTAATGAAACAGATTTGACATTTACCCTACCTAAGAAAGATCCTGTTCAACAGGCTACCTCTACTGCAACACCAGTGATTACATCATGGACGTTATCTAATAATAAGCTATTAGAGCCGCAATTATTAAACATATCATCAAACCCGTTGCCTTGTAGAGATACAAATGAAAATAAATCAACGCATATTACAACAAATATTGTTCAACTTAAGCCACCTACAAATCAAATTAACAACTCATTAAGACCAATCGTCAATCCCGTCAGAGTCAGTGCTCCATATCAAGTTATTAATCAGATGATTCGACCTCAGTTAACAAATATGCAGCCCCCTACCATCAAAATACCAGAATCTCATGTTCTTTATCAAAAACAACCAGGCATTGTTATTTCACCCAGGACTAGCTGTGACACTCGTATGTCTAGTCCCAAAGCCAGTCCTCAAGGGGAAGGCATGACTTCGCCGCGACTAACTAACATGGCTATTTTGAGTACGTCTCCACAAAATTTGAACACTGTTGGGATAAGATCTCCAAATGCTTTACATCAAAGATCTCCTGGACAAATGACAGTAGTACGTATGCAGCAACCACCATTAAGTCCGATTCAAACTATGCATATTCCCGTTGGTGCAAGAGCTATGGTTTCTCCCAACAGACCAAATTCCGTGTTGGTTCAAACGCAGGGGACACCGCTACATTTAAATCGTTTACCGGTTGCGCCAGTATTAACTCCAATTTCAAAGCAAATGAATGCAAATAATCTACTTCAACAAAATAAAAGTATTGGGGTAAGCAGTTCTTCAGTTATGCATCAACCAAAGATCATTACAGGTGATTGCAGAAAAAATGAAGTTCGAAACATAACCGAAAATATCAACGATAATAATAAAATACTTCTATCACCCACGCGTTTACAAACAAACACGAATGCTGCAGTTATGGCACAGAATCGTTTTATACCAATGCAAAACGCTCTGCACGTGGGAAATGTAAATACAACGTTGCATATGCAAAATAAAATTCTAATTAATAAGAGTCAAGTTTCTGATAAACAAGAAAATCAAACTCAGAAATCAGAGCAAAGTCATATTTCTCTAACCACCAAGCCCATAATACATGTTGCTAATGTAAGCCACTCAGCTGCATCCATAATACAAAGTGGAGTAAAACCAGTGATGTGCACAATTCAAGAAGCAAACGTAGCCAATAGAGGTCAAGGATCTAATGTGATCCACACTTTAAATTCACAAAGAGTATTGACTACAACTGCGTTAAGTAATGTTATACAGTTAGATTCGAGCAAAGTTCCAACATCACTTTTTTCTGTTGCTGCAATTAGGCCACCTACAGTTTTAACTAAAATAGACAGCACAAATTCAGTAGCTGTTACATCATCAAATCTTACAAATGTGGTTATGACTCCATTGTTATTGACTACTACTGGATCGAAAACACCCATCAGAATAAATCTAAAAAATGATGTTGATAATTTAGAAAGCGCTTTTGCAGTATCAATTCAAAATAAAGTTTTGCATGACAAAGAAAACGTAGTTATAAACAAAAGCGATTCCATCGTTGTAACTGAGTATGAAAAACAACATCAAAATGAACCAACAGTGTCAACCGAGATTATAAATAAATGTGATACAGACTTTGAGGAATTGCTGAAAGACAACACAAATGAAATTAAAATAACCAATGATCCGGAAAAGAAACTTGAAGTTAATGTGGGGAAAACAGTAACTTTAATTACACACTGTAGAGAAAGACAAAATAGTGTCAATATTTCTGACAAAATAGAGAGCGGAAATGAAGTTTCTGTCTTAGAAGCATCTCTTGTGCAAAGTAATACAATGGATAATGACAAAGAAAAAGAAGAAAAAAATGCTGAGTCTGAAAAAGATATGGCTGGGATTGTGTGTCCGTCAAAAGATTCAACTATAAAAAATGGTGAAGAATTGGCTACAGTTGAAAAGGCAGAAACTACCATACACACACCGACAAATAGCATTATCGTGGAGCCCGATAAAGTTTGTGATACAGCCACAAATCACACCAACAAGGAAGAGGTTTATACTTTTCCTACTATTTTATCATCTGATAATGAAAATGATAGTCAAACGAAAAGCATAGATGAAAATGATTATTGGTCAGCAAAGGATGTAAATATAGAATCGGTCATCAAAAAGGTCGATTCGTTGTGTAATGACAACAATGAACTAAATGACAAAAAGAGTGATGTGAATATAAATGAAGTAACAACCTCTGTTTCAACATACCCTTTAATTTCTAATACTTTAGAAACGGAGTCAACCAAATCTTCAGATAAACAAAGCGAATATATTCTAAACAACCCTCTCGAAGAATTAAATACTGAAAAAGCAACGCCAACAAACAGGAGAGGTGGTCGGAATTCTAGAGGTAAAAGAACTGACAGAAAGCAGGAGAGAGTACAAACTAGACAAATTTCTAAACCAGCTAGAGGAACTGGTGGAGGCAAACGTGGTAGAGGTCGATCCAAAATAGATAAAAAAATAAAAAGTCTAGTTAACAATACAGTTAATAATATACCGGGAGATGTATATGACTTTCACGAGGATTCTGGTGATGAAACAACTAATTCACCCAATAAACCTGAAACAAGACCGCGTCTAATTCTTACTATTAAAAGTCCACTATCTGGTCATTCCAACGTAATTGCGTCATCGACGCTTAGTATCGCTACTAAAGATCAATTAAAAAATGAAAAAGCTGTAAAGGAAGATAAAATTGAAAGTTTTGCATCACCTTCGCCTAACACCAGAAAATCACGAAGATTGCAGGAAAAAGATGTTCAACGCACAACTGTAGATGATGTAATTGACGATGTTATTAAAGGATCTAGTGTGCAAACTAAAACTAAAGAAGGTAATAAGAGACGACAAACTAGACAAGCTGGAACTAAAGTTGATAAAGTTCAAAATGCAGATACGAGAAAATCTCCAAGGGGCGTTAAAAGAACTAGGGATAGAAGTTTGTCGGATGCGTCAGTCGATAGCTGTGACGAGAAAATCAAAAAAGAAGAAGCAGTCAAAGAGATTAAGATACCCAAAATGACAGAAACAGCCTTTGCATGTAAAGCTGAGTCGGAACCCGCGCCAGTGATAAAGACTAGTACACCACCTGTGACCTTTCAACCACCAAATCCAGCGCCGACGCCTATTATGAAACCACCTAAAAAGATGATATCCGAAATTAGTGCGAAATTGGCGAGCGCGTTTGACGCGGCGGCATCGGCTACGACTATAATGGGAGCAGCGTCGCCCAATGTAGCTGGAGTAGCAGGAGTGCCGGGTGTCGCTGGCGTGCCGGGATTGGCCGGTGTTCCGGGCGTGTCCGGCGTGCCCGAGCGGGCCGCCCAGCATCAGGCGGACCGGGCACCGATGGAGGCTGACAAGCAGGGTATACCTTTACGTGAGCCTCGGAACCCAGACTTCGTGTCAGCCACCGGCGAGTCGAGTGACGCGGGCTTTGCACGTCGCCTAGTGGACAACGTGCCCGGCAACATGATGCCCGTCGGAGCTACAGAAGCTACAGATGCGCGAGTGCAGTCGCCGGCATTGCCGCACAGACCACCTTCCACGCACCGGCCCACCGACCGAGCAACGCCCGTCCTCATGAGGTTAGTTTCGTGTTTCTCTGTATAATTATAAGCCTCTTATTTTTATTTTAAATGGTTTTATTTATCCTTTTGTCGGTGGTAGGGGCGTAAAAAAAACCAGCGTCCTATTTTTTCCCGTAGGTGTTTTAAGAGGCGATTATAAGATATGCCAAATAGATCTCCCGAGAGCTCCTGAAAGATGGCGATATTATCAACTCAGGTACGCCAGGTGTAAAACACTCGAACCGACGACGGGAAGCAGCGTCACAAGTGCGGAAAAGTCTGGTACTGCGATCATCAATCCGTCTATCGAGCCTGAAGATTAAGGAAAAACCTCCTTACAATGGGAATACTCATATTTGGCTTCATATTTGGCATTTATATAAATATTTTTTCCCCATTTCAGTGGTGGTGACGACCAAGCTGTTGAGATGAAATGAAAGTTGTCTGTAAACCTAGAAATTAAAAGGAAGCTTGTTATAAACAAATTACATGGCTAATTCCGTTTGATAACATTTTAAAAATGTTTACATGTGATGTTTGTAATTAGTTTAAAATAGTGACGCCATATTATTGTTTTTGTCGTATGTGAGCAGGGTTGGAGAAAGTGAAGCGGACGTGCACTGCATGGCCAGCGTGGGTGCGGTGAGCAACGTGGGCGGGCTGGGCGCGGGCGTAGGGGGCGTGGGGCCAGGCGTGGGGGGCGTGGGGCCAGGCGCGGGGGGCGCGGGAGGCGTGGGGGGCGCGGGCGCGGCGGGCGGGTCGCGGCTGCGCGCGTACGCGGGCGCCGCCAGCCTGCCGCGCGGCGCGCACCTGCCGCCTCCGCACCACGCCAAGCAGGTCGCCGTCGTTGGACCCCACCACCATCACCCTGGTAAGCCACCCTCCTCCTCACCCCTACTTCCCTCATACTTTCATTGTTGTCCACCGTGTTTGAACGTGAACCTAACACGACCTGTCATATACAAATATAAAGTATGCTTAGTTCCTGTACTTAACAAAAATACATACATATAATTACGCCTCTTTCCCGTAGGGGTACACAGAGACCACTTCTTTCCACTTGCTACGATCCTTACTTGTTTCGCTTCGTCCACTTTCATTATTCCCTTCATAGATGCTCTTCGTTTAGGGTACATTATTTATGTTTCCAATGATATTTTTATTTAATTTAAAACCTTTATATATTAATCATATTAATTCAAACAGGAGCTGCTTCTCGAGTCACCATTACCAGTGTGCCGTCCATCAGTCCCCAAGGCCAAATGTCTTTGGTGAGTTTTATACTTAGAAATTTATTTTGAGATCTGACAATATTTTTTATTGCATGTGATAATTTCGTACATATATAAGCGAAGTTTTTCATATATTGTAATTCTGTTCACGCTATCCGGATTAGTCTGCAGACTTAGTGAGAAGTCCTCCACCCGCGCATCAACAGACTTCTCCCGTTACCTCGGTATACCACAAAGTAATTAAATTATACATGTACATAGTAAAAAATATATTTATATTATATAAGGTATAAAACTTTATTTCTTCCACAGGGAGACGGAATGTATCCTCACTTTTCTCATCAACATTATCAAATGTACCAGCAACATTTCCGTGCTACACAACATGAAAGTCGAGCTACACCTTCACCATACACAAGGTAAATTATATTTTACAGTATTCACTTTAGATTTTTAGATATATTAGATTTAGATTTTTGAGAGATTATTCGAAATGAGTATATCTGCAATAAAACCAGAATAACCGACATAGTCCATGAATCAGTTAGTTCAAGTGGTAATGTACCGATCATACAGATGAAGGGTCGACAATCGATAGGGTAGAGAGATCTTCGAGTAATGGCCTCGTACCGGTAAGTGAAGTGTACGCCCACCCCACACGAGATGGAGTGACGATCTGGATAGGCATGCAGGAAGTCGATGGATGCAGGTGGCTCAGGACCGTGTTTCGTGGCTTCCTTGGGGAGGCTTATGTTCAGCAGTGGAATTGTGAAGGACTGTGTGATTTGTCATGCTGATTGTATGATGCATTCGGCCATCGTTTGAAAAACCGCATGATGTGTGAAAAATTAAAACTATTTCGAAGACATGCAAAGTCTGTCAATTCATACAGGAGCAGCGCGTTGGTAGATTCGTTCTATTATTACTCTTTCAGAAATGAGAACAATTCTAGTTTTGTTACTTTTAATGTATAGCTTGCTAAGTCAAGACAACACAACAGAGCTTTTCTGTTTATTAAATCCATTTATTTCTTCACTTTATGGTTGGACTCATACATCCGGAATGCCTCCCTAAATTCAGAATTGGAATTCATAATTTGTATTCTGGCAAGCTGCCTCACACATCTTAAAAAATTCAGATAAATCAGTCGTTTGCTGTTTCTCGACTCATACAAACGTCTCGGATATGGAAGAGGAATTAATACTTATTGCACTTCTTTTAGCTTTAAATAATAATAAAAGAGAGATGCAAACGAATACACTGGATTCATTCTCTTAATGTGATCAGAGTAAGGGAAAGTCAGTTCTATATTTCAACTTCACAAGTCGCAACGCGTCTAGCCGTTACCGCTCGCAGTGTGAAGTGAAATAATTCATAATCTGATTCCGGTGTGTGTGCTCGCGGGTTCAAATGTATAGAAAAACGTGCGTTATAATAATAGTAACGTGTAAATTTGTCTCGCAGGTCACTAGAGGCGGAGGGCTCGGAGGCGCCGACGCCGCCGCTGGAGTTGCGGCGGCCGCCGTCGGCGCGCGTGCCGCGCCCCGCGCACTCGCCCGCGCACTCGCCCGCGCCCGCCGACCGCTTGCTGCGTACGTGCCGCTCCTGCACGCATATGCTATATGCTACTCGCTACACTACACTACACACAACCACACTACACGCTACACACTACACAATACAATTCACACCACTACATACTACCCACTAGACACCACACAATGCATACTTCTCACTACACACTGCTCACTACACATTACACACTACTCTACTCACTACACTGCTCACTACATACTACACACTGCACACTACATACTACACACTGCACACTACACACTCAAAACACAAAGTTACATAGCTTTAATTGAATTACTAGAGTTCCTATTGACCACTCCAACTAAGTTAAAAGTGCTTGTAATAAGAACTGTTTACGACAGTATTCGAATAGCAGCTTAAAACTCTCAAATTTTTTGGTTTTGACTTCGCGGTATTTTAATTAAAATAATAATTATTGGTTCTTCTCTTGACATTGTTCTTAATTTGCTTGATATACAAAGACTTTCCTCAGTAGCTACTGAATCGTCCACGCCGCGCAAGTGATTCTCGCCCTACCGCGCACTAAAATGTCACTTTTTTTACGACCGCGCGAGACTCAAGAAAAACGATTACTTCTGAAAAACTACTATACCTGCATTAAAATAAAAAATATTCTCAAAAAGCTCAAAGAATTCAAAATTTTTTTAAAAGAAAATTGGTCAAACTAAAAATAAGGGATGAAAATAAAGCTTAAAATGGGAATATCAAAAAAAATCGTATTTATTTTTTATATCGAGTTTTATAAGAAAAGTATAATATTTACTGGAGACAATTGTTTTATATTATAATAGTACATGATATTCCTTTTAAAATGACACCAATATCAATAATAAGTTATATACTCAATATAGATAAATATATAAAATTTACTCAATATAAATTTAAATATATAAATAAAAATAAGTTCTAATAATTTCTAGACACATCTCATAAGATATTTCGTTTATAAATGGCTGTCAATGTGTTAATAGTGAAGCACTCTTATATTTAGCATTCATTTAACATAAAAAACAGATTAGAATACATTTTAAACAACATATAATCAATAAACAATGATCGCGTATAGTGATTAAAATTTCGAGCTAAATTATTATATGTAAACATTTTGGAATTTTCGTAATAATACATGTTTCCTAAAGTAAATATCTTCACAATTAATTTGATGTACGATAACATTAGAAATAATGTATAAAAATAGAAAACTTATCACATTTTTGATCGAGTTCCTCACACTTTAACAGTACACAAACAAAAATGGCGAAATGTCGTTTTCACATTTTTTTCTAAATATTTTGTTACTATTACACAGATAAAATTCACTCTCACAGAAGACAAATTTCAAATAGCACCATCTTAAAATTTTTTACTGTATTCTTAACAGTTGTCTTTAGCGCTGTACACATTTAAACGGAACGATGTCGTTTGGTGACTATAGTCATAGTAATATAAGATTTCTTTTGGGGACTCACCGTGGACAGTTGGTTAGTTAGTTCTTATTAATATATAATATAAATCCGAGATTGCGTTTGTTTTTAATGTAGCTAAACCACTTAAGCAATCTTTTCAAGGGCATATTGCATGCATCTTGACGTTGTCCCCACCATCTTAATTTTTTAAATAATGTTAATAAAAATCTTTAGTGTCTCTACTACTTTAAATTAAAACTGTAATGAACACGGTAGCATTTGGAATTTATAAAATTTTGGAGATAATCTACAAGTGGCGATGTAAGAATTTCTACTACCTCATAACATCCCGTGGGTGTCGTAAGAGGCAACAGAGGGAAACAAACCAGGAGGTAGGCAGCAGTGTCTTCTTGGCACACAACTAAAAATAATAAAAAAACTGCGGTGCTTGCCTGTCAAGCATGGTAACTATAGCAAAATCCCCATGAGGCAATTTCTGGGGAGGCTTCTATCTCAGCTCTATATTCAGCAGTGGACTTTTGTAGGCGGTAATGGATGGCATTTTGCATGAAAATTTCTTTTAAGTTCTAAGCGAAAGAAGTCAGGCTAAAATGTATTTTGCAAAAGTTGTCTGTGTTGATGACGCTGACGGTGGCGATGGTGATGATGGTGACAATGGTGGCGATGGAGGTAAAGGTGATACTAACAATAACGTGTGTTGCGTAGTGTGCGATAGCGGGTACCGCGTGCCGGCAGCCCACGGCACACGCCTGGCCGCCGCGCTGCCGCCGCCCGCCGCGCCAGGCCCGCCGCACGCCTCGCAGGTGCCGCGCGAGGCCGACTCGCTGCAGATGCTGCTCAGGGTCAGTACACACGCACACGCACACACGCACATGGCCGCCGCGCTGCCGCCGCACGTCTCGCAGGTGCCGCGCGAGGCCGACTCGCTGCAGATGCTGCTCAGGGTCAGTACACACGCACACGCACACACGCACATGGCCGCCGCGCTGCCGCCGCACGTCTCGCAGGTGCCGCGCGAGGCCGACTCGCTGCAGATGCTGCTCAGGGTCAGTACACACGCACACGCACACACGCACATGGCCGCCGCGCTGCCGCCGCACGTCTCGCAGGTGCCGCGCGAGGCCGACTCGCTGCAGATGCTGCTCAGGGTCAGTACACACGCACACGCACACACGCACATGGCCGCCGCGCTGCCGCCGCACGTCTCGCAGGTGCCGCGCGAGGCCGACTCGCTGCAGATGCTGCTCAGGGTCAGTACACACGCACACGCACACACGCACATGGCCGCCGCGCTGCCGCCGCACGTCTCGCAGGTGCCGCGCGAGGCCGACTCGCTGCAGATGCTGCTCAGGGTCAGTACACACGCACACGCACACACGCACATGGCCGCCGCGCTGCCGCCGCACGTCTCGCAGGTGCCGCGCGAGGCCGACTCGCTGCAGATGCTGCTCAGGGTCAGTACACACGCACACGCACACACGCACATGGCCGCTGTAGATTCTACTCAGTATGCGTACACGCACACACATGCATATAATTATATCGAAGTAAACGCACGCGGTGAAATATGCGATACGCTGTTCTGCTCAGGACGAGAAGGTAACTTAAACCAACTATGGAGTCCTGAGCTATGGATGTTCTCGTGGACGGTGTCTTCTGTAAATGCCGCTTACAGTTTGTATTCGCAAACATGTACGTACGTATGTACTGAAATTTTTGAATATGCGTAATGGATGATAAAAAAGTACAAATGGTTTCGAAGGACCATTTATCGGGAAAACAGAATTGATGATGTGATGTAGTTACATTTCAAACAGATCGTCTGTGTTTTATTCTTAACACGACATATATTAAACTGATTAATATCACAACTAATACATACAATTAAAATGGGATCTATTATTACACTTTTATAATGCTTTTAATTACGATGTGTTTCCCTGTACGATCTCGATCACATCGTCCATTTGACTCTTTTTATGGGCTCAAAAGTGGTTAGACTGTTAGCTTGTTTGTCACATAAAAAAATCTATTTTCAATAACTAAACAATTGTTCAAATATAAACTTAATTGTTGGCGAAGTCACCGTCACAGTCTATCTATCATCAACATTTTTTTAAATTACTGTGTTGGCTGGAAAAATATTGAGCATTATAATATGTAGGATTTAGAGCAAGAGTTGAAAGTGGTGGTTGTGTTCGGCAGCGGTACCCGGTGCTGTGGCAGGGGCTGCTGGCGCTGAAGAACGACGCGGCGGCGGTGCAGATGCACTTCGTGGGCGGCAACCCGGGCGTGGCGGGCGACACGCTCACCGACGGCTGCACGCCGCTGCTGCGCATCGCGCAGCGCATGCGCCTCGAGCCCGCGCAGCTCGACCAGGTGCACCGCAAGATGAAGGTACAAAGCCCACCGCAACCATGTCAGATATAAGACGCAATCTCGACACAGTCCGAGCAATCTCAACATAGTCAGTTAGGTGTCGAACTCCTCTTCTGCCCAGGATTCTGTCTGTTAGATACCGCCCTCTTTTACTGCCTAACAAGCAGTATACTGCAGTGTTTCGACCGGCGGCGTATAGACAGTCAGTATAATTACAGCGTTGTGAAGTATTTCAACTTCAGTGGTGATAACACTATATCAGTAGCCACTTACCATTAGGTGGAGTCTAAGCTCACTTCTCAACTTGTTGCGAAAAATAATTATTTGTTTTACGTAGCTCGTACTAGTATTAATTAGGTATTGTGATCACTGGGCCATACGTCAATACTTATACAATAAACATTTACTCAGATGTAGTGTCAAATATACAGAAACAATTACAATACATCCATATCTAAAAACTAGGATTTGTATTTTATCACAAATATTGATCTCTGGTAGAAATTGAAACCATGATCTGCAACTTTGATGTCAGGTTACTAAGCCATTAGATCTCTAAAATTTTTACTTCTTCTTAATGTTCTTTTCTTGTAAATGTTCGCCAATTTGAGCTCATAACTTATTAATTTGTCATCACGAATTAGCATCACACTTTTATTAAACTTTCGACTAACATAAAGCTAAGTTATTTTAGAAGCCGTAGTTTGTTGGTGCCAAACCCAACTCTAACTCATAAATATAACCAACCAATTTAACAACAACCAAAGTGACGTTCTGTTCTGTCCGATGTGTTTATGTGGATGCTTATAGTATTGTATGTGCAGCTGGAGAGCGAGCACTGCATCCTGCTGGCGCTGCCGTGCGGGCGCGACCACATGGACGTGCTGCAGCAGTCCAACAACCTCACCAGCGGCTTCATCACCTACCTGCAGCGCAAGCAGGCCGCCGGCATCGTCAACGTCGCGCCGCCCGGACACCATCAGGTAACCATGCTATATCATGCACTAAATAATAAACAGCGCTGCCTTGACTTCTTGTCCCTCAAAATCAGTTTGCCGTTTAGGCTGTAAGGTTCGCAAAGAAACAGATATACATAACTGCATACAATATCCGCATCTGCAAAAGCTCCGCGATTATTATTGCGAACGTGAAAGTGGATGTGGAAGTCTGAATCAATGTCGAAATTCCGCATTTGCGATGCAAATATCCGCAACGTACCTGATACATATTTTCTAAGAATATAACCCTATTTCTGAGGCGATCGGGTAAATTTGACGAATTCACGTGTTCACTATAACTTATCAAACTCCTTATTCATTTCGTTACAATATCATTACTAATCGGCTAAAATAAAGGGTGGTTATTAATTAGCTTGCATTTTTACTTTTGTTGTTAATACACGATACATGTTGTTACAGGCCGTATATACCGTACACATCTTCCCGTCGTGCGATTTCGCCAACGAGAATCTGAACCGCATCGCACCAGACCTAATGCATCGTGTGGCTGACATCGCCCACTTACTCATCGTTATCGCCACCGTATGAGGCCAACGGCCCGGTGCCGTCCGGATACAAACTTACCTCACTTATGAACAAACTCCACTTCAACTGTTTAAGTGCTATCTCGGAAAATACCCAAAAATAAACAACCATGGACTATGACACTCAATACCAGGATGTGACCTCATGTTCGCCTATAAAGACATTTAGACGACTACTTTAATAACGCATTGTAAATACGGCCAGGTTGTGAAAGTTCGTTTTATTTGTTACGTTAGTTTATCGACCTGGTAAGCAGCCGCTGTGGAAACGTTTGATTTGAAGCCGAATGATGTGATGGATTCGTTAGGAATTGCGTCGGAATACCTCTGCGAGACGAAACGCTCGTGTAGTGATGTATCGTTTAGAATATTTATTGTTATCGCGTAGTGTGGCGCCTGTGGGAGGCCCGTTTGTATAGTTTCACGTAATATGTGAGCCGCGCCCGCGTCACTTATTTAAGTGTTAGACATAAGATTATAGCTTTGTAAAATACTTTTGTTATGGTCGGCTGGGTTCGGCCCTATTCGGAGTTTAAAATTTATAAAAATACGGTAAAATCAGTCAGTAAATGGAAAATATATTTAATTTTCGGTTCCGATTAGATGAGTGGCAATCTATCGAGCATTTTTAATTGTTAGTGTAAATTGTTATTTTGTTTTAAGCCTTTAGGTCTAAAATAATTTAAATTTTGTAAATACTGAATCTATGCATAACTAAAAGTCGATTTATATTACTTAGGACATTACGGTAGGTAATGGAAACGATAACTGGGTCGAATGATAACTGTTAATTTGTAAAAACTACGATAGCTAAGAAATATGTTATCCAATAAGGAAAATAAAATACACGTGGAAAATAAACTGTGATTCTGACTTTTTAAAGTAGACTTGTAGGTAGTCTTACGGAGTGTGAATTGCAATGCGTGTGTGAAATGAGACGCGGCGGCGTCGACCTCTGGCAAATTGAATTACAATAAGCCGCTTTAATGATAACCATAAGCGTTTATTTAGTAATGCGAGTGCTGGAATCATTTTGGAGGCACGTTGTAGCATTGAAATTCGTTGTACTGATGATACATACAGATGATACGACTTACTCTTATATAGATGATACACAAAATAATTTAAAACTAAATTTCTAACAAAACATTATCGCAAGATATAATACGTTTTTACATAACTTACCTCTACTAATTGCACGGATTCATTTTATTTACATATAATGTCACTAATTGCACTATTCATTTCAGTGCTGACCGCCTTGTACGCAGTTTTTTTTTAACTTAGACTTAATTCGGAGGAATGGCGACGCCGCTTTGAATAATTCTCTCGTATTCATTTGTCACTAACGCAACCTGTTTTATTAGCCAGACTTTTCCACAGTGACAACAGCATACCTACTAATTGTTTGATTTAGTAATTGTCATTGTACTGTCTTTTTAACGTGTAAAGAAATAAATAAACTGACAATATTGTACTTCTCATACTGATTCAACTGTCTGCATCAATAACTACTAAACAGCGCAAATCCAAATTGTACAAATTCGTTAACAATGGGCTAATCTGGCTTCCATGCGATCATATTCATCAGCATCTAGCATTGTATAGTTAGATAAATGTACGACGAACGGGTCGTGCGCGAAACAAAGTACAAAATATTTTATGTATTGTAATTTTATATGTACGATATAGAAAATAACAGCACAGGTAACATTATGTACATTATTCTTTTTAGGAATTAATACTATAGGTGTATAAATATGATATTGTTTGTCATGTTTCCGTCGCAAACAGTTCTCGACTTAGTTAGAAAGAGCACTAACGAACTCGTCACTTCGTCCATTAATTTTAACATAATTTTACTATAAAAATGGATATGGATTCCCAAATGTACACTATATTTATTCTTATTTGGATTCCTTATAAAGGAACACGGTGTAAATAAATCTTCACAGATGATAGCGTTTCAATATAGACTTTTAACTTGCAAACAAAGTACGAGATAGACAGTGCATAAATAACAAATTCTATAAAATATATTTACCGCAATCACATAACGTTATCGTTTTATAATTTTTTGTGAATAGGAATGTGCTTATTTATAGAGACAGTCACAGACAGGCGCGGATTGTCGTGTTGTGCTTGTAGACCGTGAACTTCTGTCTCATAAGTATCTACATTCGTATATTATATTACGCTGTATCACATGTCAATTATTGATCACATTTAAATATTTTCTTAAAATTTTTATGTCGTATGCTCATAATCATGAATATAATTTATACTGATTTGTTTAATTTCTTTAATGGAGTTAAGAGTTATGCCGTATGTGAATGCAGACTTAATAGTTTTATCTAATTAGGAATGTGAGAAGTATAATATAGTTTTGTTTTTAACTATTCTCGAAACTGGGAGTTATATTAGCGTGTCTTGAATCGTTTGAATAGAGACATCGTAAAGTTGAATGTTAAGATTGGCCAATGTCATTCTGTTCGCAAGTCGTGTTAGAAACAACTTGTGAACGGAATGACATTGTACAGCGGTACGTTTAGCGGAGGCGGCTGATGCCGGTGTGCGAGATGATAGAGTTTAAATATTTGTAAAATTAACATTTGATCTCAAGTGTGCAGCAAAAGTGAAAGTGAGCGCTAGACTGTAATGTCGCATGAGCCGCGTCCGCCCATCCCCGCTTACCTTGATTTTAGTTGTAGCAGAGCGTAAGTATATAAAAATATTGTGATCATATTTCTACTATAAGTCTAAAATGCTAGGATCTAGAATTAACTGTATATTTTGTACATATTGAAAATAGTATTGTATCTTTACTTCCCTTATCCAAAAAACCCAGACTCCTGCGTGTTATGTACCTCCTACCTACCAATACTATTAAAAAAAAATATTACACAAAGTGTTTTTATTAATTTCCCGATTTCCTCAACTTAATTTTCGTCGACGCTTATACTAATAATTTGCTTATAGCTCTTTTAGAGCAAAACTAGGCTGCCTAAAAAGCACAAGTCGTCGCCACTAGAAAGTGAGGTATAATATTTGACTGATTTCACAGCGGGGAAATTAATTTGTTCGGAAAATGTAAAGGTTATTGTTTCTTTCTATACTATTAGCTATATTTTATGTTAATAAGATTAAAAACAAATAAACCAAACCACAGATATTAATAAAGTAGAAAAATTAAAAGAAATTGTTAAGTGTCCAAAAAATTAAAGAGCACACCACTGACGCATTGTTTTGTGTATTAATATAATAATCTAGAAACTGATAAACTTTTATTAAAAACTAACTTCTCAATAAAATGACATTGTGCAACAAAAAACTTGAGGTAGTTTTTTGTCAACTAGCGACATCTGGTGATCAGAAAATTATAAGCCCTCATTGGGAGAATAAATAGATAATATAACGAAACAAAACTAAAATATATTTTATTCAACATGAGCGGTCTGTTTGAGTCGGTACCAAATATGTAGTGGATTATACAACACACAGTCTTTACGTTTCTGTTAGAAATAAAAATAATTAATATAATTTATATGTAATTGTGCTCTCACATTGCCGTTAGAAAATGTTTAGTAACGTTAGTAAACATTTGTTGGCAAACATTTAATCACAAATGTTAAAAAATGTTTTCATGTTAGAAAATGTTTAGTAACGTTAAGTTAACAAATTATAACAAAATAAAACGTGTTACCTTTTGTTTGTAAACCTTATATAAAGGTGACGGCGGGGTATGTGGTGAGTCGAGGATGCGGGGGTGGGGGGGAGGTTTAGAGTATGCCGGTCGCTGCGCGCTATGTCTGGTGTCTTGTCAGTCCCTTTGTTTGCGTGCGTCGCTGTGCGTATATAGATTAGTGGTTGCGTGTGCGCCAAGCAATAAAATATGTCAGGTTATAATTGGAATAACGAAGATGTTTACAAATTGATTGAAATGTTTCAAGCAAGAGAAGTACTGTGGAACACGATATCAGAGGACTACAAAAACCGAAATTAGAAACACGATGCTTGGATGGAAATTGCCAGTGAATTTAATTTGGATAAAAAAGTAATTGAAAAAAAGATTCGATCATTCGTAGGTCCATTTAACCGAGAATGTAAATCTAAATCTGGTGCAGGAGCTGATGAATCAAGTAAATGGTTTGCATTTAAAAAACTCATGTTCCTTAAGGGCAAAAATATCCCAAGTTCAGCTGTCGATGGAGGGTTGCAGGTGAGTTTTATTTTAACGTCTTTTAATAGTATTTAGATGCCCAGTCCAATAACCCTTCATTTGAAAATATTAAGCGAATTCTTTTCTTATTTCTCTCCCATTATCTGCCAGGGATTCACATGCTTCAAGTGGTGTTAATTGCTGGTGTTCTAATCTCTATTGTCCATCGATACGTGTACCAGTTATTTCGTCTTCACTATCATAGTATATCACTCATCTTCGATTTGCCGACGATATAGTCCTTATGGCAGAATCGCTGGAGGACCTAAGCACTATGCTCAATGACCTCAATAGTGTTTCCCAACGGATAGGTCTTAAGATGAACATGGACAAAACTAAGATCATGTTTAATGTCCATGTCACACCTATGCCGGTAGTTGTTGGGAACACTAAGCTCGAAGTTGTTGACGAGTATGTTTACCTGGGACAAATAGTCCGACTAGGTAAGTCCAACTTCGACCGAGAGGTCAATCGACGGATTCAACTCGGTTGGGCAGCGTTCGGGAAATTACGGCACATCTTCTCGTCAGGTATACCTCAAACCTTGAAAACGAGACTGTACACCCAGTGCGTGTTGCCAGTGATGACATACGGAACTGAGACGTGGTCCTTCACTGCTGGCCGGATGAGGAAGCTCAAGGTCGCCCAGCGAGCTATGGAGAGGGCTATGCTCGGAGTTTCTCTGCGTGATAAACTTAGGAATGAGGATATCCGCAGTAGAACCAGAGTAACCGACATAGCCCAACGGATTAGTAAGCTGAAGTGGCAATGGGCCGGCCGTATAGCTCGTAGAACCGACAACCGATGGGGAAGAAAGGTTCTCGAGTGGCAGCCTCGTACCGGTAGGCGAAGTGTAGGGCGTCCTCCCACGAGATGGAGTGACGACCTGGTAAGACATGCAGGAAGTCTATGGATGCAGGTGCAGGATGCAGGATGGATTAAGTAACTTGAAGTTATCGTTTACTTCTATTCTTTCAGAGTAACGAAGAAAACGGGTTAACGAAAAACAGAAGTGATTCAGAAAACACTCTCAGTTTAATCGAAACTGAAAATACTGTCACTGTAAACGAAACTACGGGCATGCTTTTCGCCAGCCCAAAACCATTTCGCAAAAGAAGACTACCAGTTGAAAAAGATACAACACAACAAGAAGCTGTAAAGTTTTTTGTTAATATATGTTTGTAAAGACACAACTTATTTTTGTTAATGTGTGTATTTTTTTCCAACGTAGTAGTTACCCACCATCGCACCACAACTGTCAAAAAGTTTTGTTAGATCATATTAAAAGTAATCAAAAATAAAAATAAATAAAAATGTTTGATTTTCCTGTATGTATTTTTGTAAAACCTCATTGAGAGCCTCGCACACTTCTGGTATGATTATAGATATCACTTGGTCTGACAACTTGAACACATTTCTAAGACTTTTATAACTGCTACCAGTTGCCAAAAATCTTAACGTTACCGCAAGTCTTTCCGTCACACTTGCAGATTTTCTAAAATTGGTGTCTCGTTTGCCTATTTTTACCCCAACTAAATTTTGTAGATATTCAAATTCGGAACTGTTCATTCTTATAAAATCTTTTAAGCAACCATCAATGCCCAAATGCTTGAGATAGTCTGTGGCACTATATTTTCCTCTAGCTATTAGCGTTTCGCGCATCCAATAAGAGCGCTTTTTCTTATTTTTTAAACAAAAAATTAAAGCTATTCCAATGAGCAAATCCTCTTCCATTTTCGTGTAGACGCTCTCAGAACGCAAACTAACTGCGAGCCAATACCAGATTTTAAATGTTATAAAATGTTAGTAAACATTTTCTATTAGTGTAGGAGCACTTATAACATGTAGCAGTTCCTAACAAAATGTAACAATTGACAACATTTGTGAGTAAATGTTTTTATGTTAGAAAATATTTACAAACATTTTCTAACGGCAATGTGGGATCACCATAACTGACAAAGGGTATATAAAGTAACTGTTAAATTCAAAGATTATATAACCACTATGTTAAAGCTGTTAACCGAACCAAAAAACCATGCAGCCATTTAGTTAAATTCCACTAAAATTCAACATTGTACAAAATTACTTCTTGAGAAAGTTCCATAATAATTTGGTGTATAGGATGACCGTAAATAGTTACTGTGGCTGTGCAAAACTGTAATTCGGTCCATGATCACATACGGCGTTCTGGTATGGTGGATCAAAACAAATGAAGCCACCACTATAAAGAAGCTTCAGCGTTACCAGAGACTGGCGTGTGTGGCTGCCACAGGCTGCATAAGGACTACACCAACAGCAGCCTTAGAGGCGATGCTTGGAGCTAATTCCGCTTCATCTACACATACAACAAGAAGCGACTTTAGCTGCTATTAGACTAATGTATACTACTAATGAATAAAACCCTAAATCTTTGGAGTAAGAATAGAGTCCCTCATAAAGGTATAATTGATAGAATTTACTCAAAAATTCCTATCTTACAAGCCAAGTACGATAAGATCCCCAAAAAAATTGTATTCGATAAGAAGTATAAGATACAATTAATTGAAACCAGCTAGCCGGGGGGATAAAGCTCACAAGAGCTTAGAGTTTTTACCGATGGTTCAAAAACAAATGAAGGTGTAGGATCTGGAACGTTCTCTGAAGACCTTAATATCCACATATGCACATCGCTGGGTACCCACAACTCTGTCTTTCAGGCGGAATGTATGGGTATCATTCAAGCGGCCATAGTAATAGATGCTAGGAAGGTAATGGATTTCTCTATCAGAATATTGACCGACAGTAAGGCGGTACTACAAGCTCAGAGTTGCAATGTGGTGAACTCCGGACTAATATTCATATATGCCATCAACGATTTAATGAGGTATGTAAACACAACAATGTGACTCTGCAATGGATAAAGGGACACAGTGGATCCAGAGGCAACGATACAGCAGACGAAATGGCCAGAAGAGGATCGGCTCTGTCCACTATAGGGTCGGAACAGTCAATCCCCTTTGGTAATGTTCGCTCATTGGTACGTAGAAACTTCACTGATCAACACCCTCAGCTTTGGAAAAATCTAGTAGACTATAGACAAGCTAAGGAGGCCCTGCCTGAAATAAACAGTCGTTTAACCAAGGTTCTATTGAGAGTGAACAAGCCGCAGATCAGGATAGTAACAAGTGCTATCACAGTACATGGCTTCTTTAACAAACATTTATTTACCGTAGGTGTTACAGATAGTCCCCTGTGCAGGGCATGTATGGGGGAGGAAGAAACGGCGGCCCACGTGTTGCTGACATGTCCGGAGGTCGCTGCATACAGGCTTAAACATCTTGACACGCCGAGATCACTCCCAGAAGTTGCTTGCAACATCAAAGGACTTCTTCGGGGAGATTTAATGGCTCGAATAATCACATTATTCCCGCCCACTCGCAAAATACGCGCTCAGACGTGGAGTTGCGGAAAACAGTCCGTCGTAAACTAAACTAAACTAAACCATCATCATCCTCATCCTCATCTTCATTGTCTTTCCCTTTTTTAAATAGTTCATGGCCTTTCAGGCCTGTCAAATGAAGCTGTAAGAGCCGCATAGGATAACAGCACCAACATCACAGAAAATAGCCAAGAAGTTGTGTCGCTGTTTTTCGAAGGCAATCCGGCTGAATTTGATTCGTCGTTTGACTTCTTGGTCGAAATTATACCTAATCGGACATTTTGTCCCGTGTACACATACATCATCTACCGGTATAGGTGTAACATGGACGTTAGACATGATTTTTGTATGAGCCATGTTCATCTTAAGATCTACTCTTTGAGCAATACTACTAAAGTCGTTCGAGGATAGTTTCGCGTTGGGAACGAACGGGAACGAATAAGATTACAGGTAATGAATGCTGGTACTCGTATAGGTATTTTTATACCATCAATCGTACCACTTTTTTCGTCGTTTTCATAAATAGTTTACATGCGCAGACTTAATTCACAATATTGCCCCTCATTCTATGGTTTAAAAACCAAAATGTTCAAATGTTTCAAAATGAACAAAGTAAAGTCATCGAGAAGCGCTGCGAGGATTTTGATCGATAGTTTTTTCACGGGATTATCTGTTGTCGATTCCTTTACAAAATATATAATAGAAAGTAATATCGATGGCGAATGATATACTACCAAATGCTGGTACAGTCAGCAGTATTCACTGATGTGTGCAAAAAGATTCCGAACACGTTAATTACAACTCTGCGGGTTACTGCTTCCACGAAAACGCGCACGCGCACTTAGCGCTCTATACGAAGGTCTTCTTGGATAGTACACCGGTTAAACTTTTGAGTCGCCCTCCTCAAAAGTTTTGACACCGTACCGCTTGTTGTTTCTTAAAATAAAATATCAGCTGATAAAGGCTGTTTTCAGTGCTGGAAGAAGCGCTAGCAGCGTTCGATCCATAGAAATGGTACCTATCTAAATCTGAGGCGGACTGAAAAGTGTTTCGAAAATTGTTTCAGACGAATGAAACTTTGTGTTGGTGCTGGTGGAGTTCTGTAAAACGATTTAATAATAAAAACTAAGCATAAAACTTAATTTTTTCGTGCGTGCGTGCGTGCGTGCGTATGTGCGTACGTGCGTGCGTGCGTACAAGCGTGTGTGTGTGTGTGTGTGTGTGTGTGTGTGTGTGTGTGTGTGTGTGTGTGTGTGTGTGTGTGTGTGTGTGTGTGTGTGTGTGTGTGTGTGTGTGTGTGTGTGTGTGTGTGTGTGTGTGTGTGTGTGTGTGTGTGTGTGTGTGTGTGTGAGTATGTGTGTACGTGTGATTGTAGGTGCTTAAAAGTGTAAGCATTTTTATTATTATTATTTTATGTAATTTTATTTAATTCTATTCTATTCTGATAAACAAGTATATTATTTAATTCCGTGAAGTAGAATGTTTTCTGTGGTGTGATAAGATAATTTTTTAAGATGATCGGTAAGTATTTTTTTACATTCGCGATATAGCCGGTGAAAGTTTAATTTTTTATTTAAGTAATTATACATATATCTTGATTGGGCACAGTACTGTCTCTCAGCAAATTTAGATTTTACATAAATTTGTTTAATGACGTTATGATTCCCCCGTGTAGATGTTTTTTTTTTGGATCATATGGCGAGTTGGTGTTTTTAAAATTGACTAAGATATATAGTTGCCTAACCGTAAGAACATCACTAATATTATACAGTTGTTCGGTATTAAATCTAATAGGCTTAAAATACATAACTTTAAGAAGGTATTGTTGTACTCCTTCTATGTTCAGTAAGTTAGTTTTTGCCGCTCCTCCCCATACCGTAATGCAATATCCTAGAACTGACTGAGCTAAAGATGTGTAAATTTGATTTATAAATTTAGTCGTTGTAATGAGTTGTGTATCGCTAGCAACGCAAAGTCGGGAATTTGCATTTGGAAAAATCCCAAATTAGGGGCTTTTTAGGTGCTAATTAGGTGCCAAGTTTAAAAATTAGGTGCTCTAAAATTTTCACCGCAACGAACGATTGAAATTTGCGTTGCTAGCAAAACGTCTCGCTAGCAGTGCAATGAACTTATTAAATATACGATAAATATTGTTACGAGCTTGGGGTTCGAGACCGGCCTCCGTGGTTAGCAGCTGGCCCTCCGACGTTTGCGGCGTTGCATTACCAAATCGTCTCTGGTCCGTCTCCTGTTGGCGTTGACTTCGGGTACGGATACCCTCCGTGTCGTCTTTAGGTAAAATCGGCATATTTGATCCCACTTCTGACACCAATTGTTACGAGCTTGGGGTTCGAGACAATTAAAAACTGCCGATTGAATTACCAAAATTGACACTTTAATTACACAACACTAATTACTATCTAAAATCACACTAATAATAAAACACAGTTCGCCGTTATTTCGCTTCGAAGTATTCTCTTGTATCGCCAATTCAATACTGCCTCGGTCGTGGTCTATACCGGCCTTATATATGGCCTCAGATAGTTTCCAGAACCTTCTACTGCAGCGACATCTAGAATGTTCGAGTACATATCGGTCCCGAAAAATCTGGAAGGATCTCGACTCTCTTATTTCTGCTACTCGACACTAGAGGGCGCTAGTGTAAATAGTGTTGCCATGTACAAGACATTAATAGTGGCGCGCAACACTTTCTTTTCCTCGACACTAGAGGGCGCTAGTGTAACTAGTGTTGCCATGTACAAGACAT